TGTTTAAAAGGGCCTGCATTTCTTTACCCCCTGTCGCATAGTAAAGTGGATACTAAATTATTGCTGTCAGTAGCTCTAGGGAATAGGGAAGGCACTACATACGGCTATATCCCAGGCTCGTTGATGTTGATACGGGACAAACTCGATGACTTCATGTCCTGCGACTCTTAACTTGTGAGCCGCCTCATCTAGCCCTCTGAGAACTGGTGGATGTGGCATCACTACCCCATCAAAGCGCAAGATCCCAATGCTTAACCTCCCAGAAATGGACGGTCTTGGCTGCCAGTTGATCGGAACGACGCCGATATCTTCCAGCCAGGGCTGTGCATCTGTCACCACTTTGCAAATTAATTCAACATCACGTACTGAGTGACACATTGGCCCAATGGCAGCGGCAATTGCCCTTGAGCCACTGACATTGGACGTTATGCCTTCGTAGCTAAGCCGGCGCGTTGATGGCCGAATTCCGTAGAGCCCATTGAATGCGCAAGGAACTCGAATGGAACCTCCTATGTCGGTTCCAATACCCATAGGAGACCCATAGAGACCTACGAGTGCTCCTTCACCCCCAGAGCTACCCCCTGATACAAGGGATCGATTGAACCCATTCAATGTACGGCCCCAAAGCTGGCTGACCGTTTCAATGGCCATGCCTGTTACGGGCATAGTGGTTTTGACAAAGATAATAGCACCAGCGCGTTTGAGTGCCTTGACAAGTACCGCATCTTCCGACGGAATGTTGTCTGCCCAACAGCAGTATCCAAGGGTGGAGCGCAATCCGGCAACATTAACGTGGTCCTTGATACTGACCGGCAGACCATGTAAAGGCCCTTTCAGCTTGCGTGTGGCTTTGAATTCCTTGTCAAGTTCTCTTGCCGCTTCGAGTGCTTCGTCAAAGCAGATCTCTGTCAAGCAGTTGACCTAAGTTGTATAAGCACCCATGACAAGGCTTAGGATCAAGAAGCTACTCACCAGTTGTTGAGCAATGGCTGCTCGTTTGCAGAACGCAAGGCAGACCTTCTCAGCACTCCATACGCCCGCATGGATCTTTTCAAGAATAGTAGTTGCGTCCTTGATGGTGATATCGACTTCTTCCTGTGAGAGAATGCCACTGGCTGCTGGAACTCCTGAAACATCGCGCTGCTCCGGTTTAAGGAACCCCTTTTCCAAGCGCCATTCGACTGGAATTTTGGCATTCAGTCTTGTTTGCGCGCTCTATCTTGTCAGTATGTAGGCTGGCTCTTGAACAGAAGTATTTGATACTTACCTCCGCGATAGGTGCCCACTTATTGTTGTCAGTTTCCATCTTGTACTGTCCACAAGAGCTCTCGATCATACTATCACTCGGAATCTTGCAAGGCTGGCCACCAGGACTTTATTGCGTACCACCCTCTGTAGATGCTTGCGATTGCATCACAGATACCTTCATGAATAATGAGCTGCGGTCTTTTTGGTGTCTCGGCCTAAGAACCCTGCGCTGACTAGCTGGTAAGGTTAGTGGCGCTGCCGTGCTGATACAGAGTGAGATAATGAGACGGCCGACTCCGGCGCTTCGGCATTTCGGCCAGTCCACATAAAATCTCCATTCCAACCCGGCTTGGTGATTCAATTGCCAGACCGAGCAGCAAATTTCGACCAGTCTTCGTTTCAAGGTTGCAAAACAATCTGTTATCGTTTTATTCTAGCCCGAAACGCCGCCAGAACCATACAAAATGAGTTCGACGCGTGAAACGTATCGTGTGCGGCCAATCAGTGAGTGTTATCCTATGTTACACCGGCTGCAGAGCGCGCATTGATGGCTCTCCAGAAAGGGCCTGCATGGACTGTCATGCCAGAAAAGTGAAGTGTGATGCTGCCGCAAACGGTTTTCCGTGCAGTAATTGTAGATCTGCACAGGTTGAGTGCATTATCGCCGAACGACAGAAAAGGAAAAGGGCGACGCCTCACCGGAGGACTTCACGACCTAAGAGCAACGATCAGAGTGAAGCATTGGACTCTCACCACGATAATACTCAAGGGCCGGCAGCAACTCCTCAGGCGCCCGAGTCAAGCTCCGCAGTAGGAAATGACTCCAGTCTTACTCCTGGAGAGTATGCCGGCGAGTGCGAACTTGCCAAGGAGCATCTAGTTGAGTTTTTCAGCCAGGATCTCAAGCACAACCCGATCAGGGCTAGGTCCACCTACGTTGGAAGCGAGCTGTCAAATCTAAATTATCTCACTCGGCAAAGGGCGGTCAATCAGCACGTATATCATTATCCCTGTTCGAATGTCTACGTTCCTCGCGTGTTTCGAAACTCTCACACGCTTGCAACACCCAATTTGATTGCGAAAGATGCATTTGTGCTTCCTCCTAAACATGTCGCGGACGTCTTGGTTGCCGATTATTTCCAATATATTCACCCTGGCTTTCCTATCATTGAGAGGGAGGGGTTTCTCAGTGCTTATCACGACCCTTCGTCCTCTCCACCAATTCTGCTTCTGCAAGCCGTCTGTTTAGCAGCAAGTCATGCCACTAAGAGCTTTCAAAATATTCAGGATCTGAAGGTTGCCTTCTTCAGACGAGCCAAAGCTCTGCTAGACGGCAGATATGAAGAAGATAGGATGCTTGTTGTTCAGGCGGCTATGCTTCTTACATGGTTCTCTGACGGAGGTGATGATATCTGCGCGAATGCTTGGTGGTGGATTGGCATTGCTGCAAAGACTGCTATTGGTCTCGGGAGTGAGAATTATTCTGTTCAAGTCAGTTGACTCTGATACGCTGACAGCATATCATTTAGTGCACCGCGATGTCCGACCTTCAAGAATGCCTCAGAATGACCAGAGAATTTGGAGGATGATCTGGTGGTGTTTAGTGCAACTGGATTGTCTAGTATCTTTGTGCTACGGGAGACCCCAGTCCATGTGAGTCAAGCAACACTTGCCGACTATGGAGATCTTCTGACCCTCATAGTAATCTTGATGATTGTGATGTGCCCCCTCTGTCATTGGATGATTTTGACGCATCCGTAAATAGCAGGGCAGCAAATTTTGTGATACATCATACCAAACTCTGCGCAATTATTTCAGATCTAGTCCGAAGACACTTCTCTGTGAGAGCACGAAAGTATGGAGCAAAAAGAGGCGATGTCCTTGAGATCGTTGATGCTGCACTAGCGGAGTGGCTTGTTGCACTTCCTCCGGATTTCCAGGAACATGCGAGACACACGGCTGGAGAATGGGACCACTGGCCGTCGCTAATGCATCTGACATACAACACAGTTTTGGTCCAGTTCCACCGGCGACTGGATGAGTCCGGAATGGATTCAACCTCTCACTTGGCTGCCAATGATGAGGACATTTGTGCCGGTGCTGCATCGAATATTATCCGCATTTTTGACCAGCTTGATCAGCATTCAGCCCTTCGCTTCTGCTGGTTCTGGGCACCGAGCACGCTGTTTACAGCCATCTTAGAAATTAGGGGTCAATTGAAATGCCGCAACCCGATTCTTGCCTTCCGAATAAAAGAAAAATACGACGCCGGTCTTCTGTCATTACATAAATTGACGAAACATTGGCTGTACGCAACTTCAATCCTACGACTTTTTCAATCCAACTCAATTGAGAAGTCTCAAAAGGAAGTCACCCACCCAGAACGTTCTACGCCAAGAACTGATCATTTGGCTCCGGAGTGGGATTCTCCAGCAGCGACGGTATCCTCTCTAGGTGCTATTTCAAATAGCGCAACTCAAGGAATGACGTCTATGCTGAGCCAAGGTCATCCTGACGCACAAGAGATGGACTGGGTTCGCTTACAACAATATGCAGACCCGACGACGGTGAATATGCACGTAGAGCAGAACCGCTGGCACAACAGTCTCAATGAATGGCAGTCAGTTTACTGGAGCGACCCTCTTGCAAGCATACATCTGGAAGACAACTTCGGTCAATTTAGATTTGACTGGCCGTCCTGATATCTAGAACTCCGTCGCGTTTCAACCTAAACGAGGAACCACAATAGACAATTCACGGTTACAACGTATGTTGGCCTTCAAAGTTCTGGTTACTGTCTAATCTGGTTCATTCTATCTATGCCAATTCCGTAACGGTGGTTGAGACTGCTGCCTTTTTTACAGCTGCGATGGCCTCGATTTCAAACTTCAACTTTGGGTTGCCAAGCTTCGCAACTCCTATCAGTGCAGTACCGGGCCGGTGGCCATCAAGAAACTTCAACAGGGCATTGATATGTACAGGACGAATGGAAACATCTATGAATGGCATTAGCTAAAAACAGGATCCAGCTTTTCTGACAGCATACCATAGTCCACAATGTAGTATGTCAATTTAATGATGTCCTTCGGTGTGGCCCCCGCCTCAGCTAGTACATCTCCAAGGTTCTTGACGGCTGCCGAGACCTGCTCTTCATAACTTTCTGATATCACACCATCCGAACCAATAGTTCCAATCTGGCCGGCTGTGACTATAATGTCATGTCCAGCAGGTATGACTAGACCGTGAGAGAATGGACCGCTGGGCGCCACGCTTGACGGATTGAGGAGGGCTAAAGCGTCGGACATAATGAACCAGAATGAATGGTAGCTTAATTTAAAGTACAGGCAAGATACTTGTGGAATCCCTCAATGCTTGGGCCCTGGGATTTCTTTTCTTATCTTACTTCGGAAACTGCCTCTTTGAAATCCGTCATTTTGGGGCGAATGGCCGAAACGCCGAGTAGCGCCTCTTCCCCGCCGCTATAAACAACGTTAACATGACTAGCGTAGGCACGACCTTAATTCGGGGTCACCAGATAAGCCTAATTAGCGTTTTCTGTAATTCGATTCCAGATAAGCTGGTCTTGATGTTTCTGTCTTGCCGTAATCCCGTAATCAAATAGCCTTAGGGAGAAGGGGAGTCGTGCGTGTATATGATCCGCGATGGACAGCAATGCCGACCTCGACCGACGTTGCACTCTCCATTGCCCTTCTTCCAAACATCACGAAGTCTTTACAATAACGTCTAAGCACATGATGGACTCTTCCGTACAGATGGACTCCAAGTCATCGGCTGCCAGAGAGCAAGAAGACCTCAGCGTTGCCAGCATCGCTCTGGTCTCCCTGCCACGGAACGTCGATCCTGACTTGGCGCTCGCAATTGCACAGATCTCTCCTGAGCGACGTGTCGAGATAGAAAAGAAATTGAAGCTGAAGCTTGACTTCTTCATGTTTCCGCTTCTGCTGATATTCTATATTCTCAACTACCTGGTATGGCAACAGAAAAAGCTTCTGTGGATTTACGCTCACAGAAGTTCGTTTCCAGGATCGGAACGCTCTGGGTTTCGCAAAGATAGTCAACATCGAGAAGGATCTTAAGCTCAAAGGAACTGAGTTGTGAGTGATTGCTTGCTCATTGGAGCTAGATTTCAACTGACTCTTGACAAGTGCAACCTGTCTTTCAATTCTCTATGTTGGATACTGTCTGGTAAGGATGCGTTCGTGCTGTTAAATGATACATTGTTGACAGCCTGGTAGTTTCAAGTCCCGTCCAATTTAATGCTATCGAAGTCAAAGCCTTCGTTATATCTCGTAAGTTCACCATATTTCAATACGAACTACCAGCTAATTCGACAAAGCCATTTTGGATGGTCGTCTGGGGTATCGTTTCCGGTTGTACTGCTGCAGTGCAAAACTACCATGGCTTGGTCGCTATTCGATTCATACTTGGTATTGTCGAGGCACCGTTCTTTCCTGGGGCGATCTTTCTACTCTCGTCGTGGTACACGCGCAAGGAAATGGCCATGCGTTGTGCAATTCTTTTCGGTGGAAATATGCTTAGCAACTGTAAGCTCTCTTATCCTTTGAAGTGCTGCTGGTATTGAGACATTTGTCAGCATTTGGCAGCTTGATTGCATTGGGAGTCACCAGTGATATGGATGGCGTCCGTGGACTTGAATCTTGGAGATGGCTTTTTATAATTGAGGCAGCCATGACTGTTGGCGTCGCATTAGTCAGCTTCTTTTTGTTGCCCAATTATCCGCATAATACTCGTTGGATCAAGGGAGAAGAGCGCACCGTCGCAATTTGGCGTCTAATTGAGGATGTTGGTGAAGCAGACGACGCCGAGACGGACGCTGTGAGCATGTGGCAAGGCTTTCTTCTGGCGGTCAAAGACTACAAGACTTGGATCTTGGTATGGAATCATATTTTCCTCACCGTGGGTGCTGGTATTGTTGTGTTCTATCCAACTGTTGTTGGAACCCTGGGGTTTTCACGCAGTAAGTTTACTACCTATTCTCGTGCTGAATATTTGTACGAGCAATGCTAATATGAGGCATGATAATGCAGAGATTACATATGCCCTCATCGCGCCTCCGTATCTTCTCGGATTTGCGACCTCTGTGTACGGATGCCATCATGCAGACAAGAAACAGGAAAGAACGTGGCACATGATTGGCACACTGTCGGTTACCTTGGTTGGCTTGATCATTCTGGCGAGCACGCTTAATACGGGCGCTCGTTATTTCTCGCTGTTTCTCGTCACTTGTTTTGTGTATGTTGCCTTTGACTGCAACCTCGCATGGTAAGGAAGCCCCGAGAATTATGTGGTTTAAAAGGCTTCGTTGTCACAGACTGGCTGACCATCTCGATAATAGGATCCAAAATTGCATTCCTCGGCCAGCACCAAAGCGCGCCGCTGCCATTGCTTTAGTAAACATGCTTTCACAGCTTGGGTAAGAAAATAATTTCATTTGCCAAAAGTTCATTCAACTAACATGAATAGGAATATCATTGCCAGCTATATCTATCCCAACAACCAGGCACCTCGCTACTGGATGGCATGTACAGTTGAAGGTATCGCTCTAGTTTGTGCAATCGCCCTCACACTCGTCTTCCGCACCATCCTCAAGCGCGAGAACAAGAAGTTGGATGAAAAAGACGCAGCCCGTGGAGGGGAGAATGGCGCAGCATCTGGTACCAAGTTTCGGTATATCTATTAGTTGTAGATCTATAAGGACAATCTTCACCACGTCGAGAGGCCTGAATCGAGTGAGAATAGGCCATAAATTGGGTTGATACATTGTAGTGATCCATAATTTGATCACTGTAAGATGCAGCTGAGGTTGTAGCTTAGCCAAATGTACAACTCTATATCTAAATATATTTAACTCTACAAGACACGTATGCCCTGCTATCTATATAGTGGCCACAGTGATGGGCGAAGTATGTGAGCAACATCTTTGAAGAAATCTATGTTAATTTCAATAATAAGATTGTATCAAGTCTCACGCAAAAGGATAATAGACACGGCTCCTTAGTCTTCCCGAGAACTACTTGATTGTCAGTTGTGTTACAACATCAAATCAGAAAAACTACCTCTATCCTATCGGGTAGGCCTCTGTTGGGTTCTAGTTCTATATGCATGATATGGCATGGTCTCGTCCTCGATCGAAGCCGGTGCGCCCCATGGCTAGGAGATCGCAAAGATTCTCAAATTCCGTAACAGAGTAGTTAAATTCGGGTATAAGGAAAGTCTGGAACAAACTGTGAAGTAAGTCAATCTGGTGTATGAGGGCTGTGCTCGGGTGCCTGTCAATTGTGATCCCCACCTTGAGATAAGAAAAGCAGAGCATTTGGCCGAAATGCCGAAACACCAAATCGCCGAGTTGCAATCAGTGATCTACCGCCACCGCTTTCACAACATTGTCCGATCTTACCTAGGCCGCGGGAACGAGAGAGACCAGGTCGAACTTGGAAAGTATCGGATCATGTGAAAAAGATGGTGCCATGAAATCTGGTAAAGGTAAAGTCTTCGGTAGTTTGACTCTATACTGCCACTATTAGCAATTTCCTCTCCTTCTTTTAAAGACTGTCCAGCTTCTCCATGTCCATGCTCAATTATTTGTGGCTTGAGCATCTCCGAGATTCTGTTGGAAGCATACGTCAACATGGCTGCCGCTAATAAATCCGCGATCAAGACACTCAAACCCCCGGCCATTGCTAGCACAGGACCCTTCGCCCATGTCGGCCACACTGAAGGCCCCGCCAAGGTTGTCTTCACCTCGGGCATGGTCGGCCAAACTCAAGACGGAAACATCTCGGACTCTTACGTCGAACAAATCAAGCAGAGTCTCGTCAATCTAAAACATTGTCTCGAGGCTTCAGGTGCCACCGTCAAGGATGTCCTGAAGTTAACCTACTACATTGTCAACTATGATCCCAATAATCGACCTCATGCAGCTATCATTTTTGAATGGTTAGAGGGCCATCGTCCAGCAACCGCTCTCGTACCAGTCCCGAAGCTGGCAAACCCCAAATTCCTTTTCGAGATTGAGGCCATTGCTGCCGTGAGAGATCCGGCGCTCGCGGCCCCGATCCCAACTCCTGTCTCGGGTAGAGTTGATGAATTTGATGTCGTCGTTGTTGGCGCGGGTTTGAGTGGCTTGCAGGCAGCACATGACCTCCAGAAGGCGGGATTGAAGACTATAGTATTGGAAGCTCGCGATCGAGTGGGCGGCAAGACATGGACTGTTCCCACAGCGAATGGCAAAGGTGCCATTGATCTTGGAGGCGCCTGGATCAACGACACAAATCAGAGCAAGATGTGGGCTCTTGGTCAGAGATTTGGAATGGAGTATACTGTCCAGACTATTGAGGGAGACTGTGTGCTTCAAGATCATGGACGCTTTCCATTCGGGGAGCTTCCTCCGGTATGTTGATCACAGCGTTGCCTTGTACTGGTACAATGCTGATCCCTTGCAGTTTGAGAGTAAAGAGGAGCTGGAAAGTTTTGACAAATTCAGGGAAGTGGTGGAGGAAAGGTGTCAAACTATCGACATCGAGAAACCTTGGCTTGGAGAGGGGAAATACTATGACTCCATGACATTTGACGAGTTTGCAAAGCGGTCCGGGGCTTCTCCTAAGACTGTAGAATACGCGAATCTCTGGGTAAGAGCTATGGTAGGAATTGATGGGACGGAAATCAGCGCGCTTTACTTCCTTCACTATTGCAAAAGTGGCGGAGGTTTCAAGCAAATGAGATCAGATGGTAAAGATGGTGGACAGCATCTCCGCAGCAAGACTGGTAAGATGCACCGTTGTCCCTTACATTTAGGAGTATACTGACAACAGCAGGCTCTCAGCCTTACTCAGAAGGCCTGGCCGGTCTACTCACACCGGGTTCGGTCCTCCTGTCCACTCCGGTCTCCAGTATACGGCAAACTGGTAAGGCATGCACGGTTACAACAGCGAGCAACCTCACATTACGAGCGAAGAAGGTTGTCGTATCCATCCCAACGCCTCTCTACCGCGATATCTCCTTCAGCCCGCCTCTCTCGGGCGCTAAGCTGGCTCTCTCCTCAGCTACCCGCCTTGGCTACTTTACCAAGGTCATTCTGGTTTACTCCTCACCCTGGTGGACGAAGGCAGGCCTGGCAGGTCTCGCACACTCCTTCAACACCACCGCCGACGGAAAGACTGCCAATGGAGCAGGCCCGGTCACCCTGATTCGCGATACGTCTGATCCGGAAGCCGGAGTGTATGCATTGACATGCTTTGTCCTTGCCAACGTCGGCCGCACCTGGTCCCAGCTGCCGCCTGCCCAGCGGCGCGCCGAGGTGTTGGAACAAGTCGCACAGATGTACTCTGACGTTGACCGAGACCTAGTATACGCTCCGGTCGAAGTGTTTGAGCAGGAGTGGGCAAAGGAAGAATGGAGTAAGGGGTGCCCCTGTCCGGTAACGCCACCTGGGGTACTTAGTACGGTTGGCCATGCTATTCGAGAGCCGCATGGCAACGTGCATTTCGTGGGGACGGAGACGAGCGTTGTCTGGAAGGGCTACATGGAGGGAGCAGTGCGGAGCGGGGAGAGGGGAGCGGCCGAGGTAGTCGAGGCAATAAGAGGGAGCCCGGAGTCAATCAAGGCGAACCTGTAGACGCGCGCGTCTCCAACGATTCCTGTTCACTGGATCCAACCAAAAAGGCGTGATGAGACTAGATTTATGTGCAGTAGAGAACGACGAAAGACAGCACATTGCCTGGAGCAGTCTCGAATACCGAAGGTCTCATTCCTCATTCTGCCTGGCGAAACGCGCCATAGACTAGCTATAAAGCGAATTTGTCGATCAATGGGGGGGATTTGTAACGCACGATGCCTCGTAATAATTTCTTTGCATGATTGGTATGCACTAGAGAGTGCGATAGTCGCTGCCGCTTGTGGGATGGCTTTTCGCTAGTGTGCTGTCGGTCTGTCGGTCTGGTGTTCGAGACCATTAATAGGCGAGGGTGGCAGTGCCACAGACACCAAAACCACGTCTAGATTGCTAATGCGGCTGAAAAGCGACCATTCACACACGACCCTGGAAGCCATTGAGCAGGGGTGAATCTGGGAGCTGAAAAAAGATGCCTTGCGGGCTGTCTCCGATCAAAAGGAGAGACCTGGACTTGGGCCGCCTCCTGCAACTAAGTCCGACTAATATATTAACCTTATCCTACATGTTCTCCGCCAAGCAAGCTTCGTGTTGACACCTGTGACTTGCATGCCCATTTTCCCTCGGGTATGCTAACAATTGGCCTAGATTTGTTCTTGTCGCCGCCTCTTGTTGCATGTTTCAACATTTGCGTGTCTTGTTTGGCTTGATTAAGTCATAATCATGAACGGGCCATCGATCTCGCGCCGACCCGTTGGCCGAAAGTCAATCGGGCAAGCTCCCAGTAATGTAGCGCCTCAGCAACCGGTCTTCCCAGGACCACCGGGTGTCCAAATGTCTACCGCTCCGGCTTCTGTGCCGGGTCAGATGACGCCACAGTCCGCTCCGTATCAAGCAGGTCCGTACTACACAGCTGCCCCTATGCCACCAGTATCTGGTCAAACTCTGGGGATGCAGCCCGGTGCTCAAGCCTCAACACACTGGCCTTCGTCTTCAACAACATACCAGGGCCCAGCTTATTCTGTACCACCGCCGCAAACACCCGCATATGTCCCGGCTCCGGTCCAAACCCCTGGTCCTCGTCTGACTCAATCCCCGATGGCTCATGCCGCTCAAGTTCGGGCATCCATCGTTGCGCCGTCGCCCCAACCAGGCCCTCAAGGTCCCGTAGGCCCTCGCCCGGGTCAAATGAGCAGCCCAGCGCCGTCTATGGTTCAGAATTTTCCGAGTCCTACAGGAATCAATATGGCCAACCCGGGACAAGCGGCGCCTATGGCCGCCCCTAGTCCAATGGCGCCACAGCTTCAGCGATTAAATACTACGCATAGTGTACAATCTCGTGCGTCAGATTTCGACCGTCGGTTGAGTATGTCGAGCAACGCCAGCGTTGGCACACCATTAACGACATTCTCAACACCAGATCAGTCCCAGCAGGCGATTGGGACACCAGGTGGCAACTCCAGGGCGTGTGCTTCATGTAAACAAGGTAAGACCCTCAACGAGCGACTACGCATCCTTGCTTAAGGCAATGCTTCGTCCGATGAACCCTTAGTTGACAACTTCAAGCTATCCCTCAAAACTTGTCTGTTTTCACATGCCTGATATGCAGCACCGCCGAAATTTCCACACATATTTGTGTATGGTGCTACACTACAGGAGCAGCAGCCTCCTCCCACCCACATGACACCTCATATTTGGCAACAGATTCGGATCTTCGTGTCCAGGAAAGAGTGGGTTATATCTTGCCGCAACAGTGGACGATTCGCAAGAATGCTTCTGGACGGCTGTGGTATACCTATAATGAGACCGGATACCGGACACATATTCAACCCTTAACTGGGGTTGTGTATGAGATGGACGTAGATGTAGGAATTCCGCCAGGATGGCAACAGATGAAGACTCCCGAGGGGAAGGTTTATTTCTATAATCAAAACACTCATGCCTCATCCTGGACTAAGCCGAAGAACGAAATACCTCAAGGCTGGAAGGTTTACAAGACTCCCGACGGGGTCCTCTTTTACGTTAACGAGGCTCTTCGGTTGTCAACATGGGATAGGCCTGGCGAGCAGCCCAAACCAAGGTCCATGAAGTCATCTCCAAGTGGGCCTCCTACGCCAGCTGCTGTGGCTGCTACTGCTGGCCCAGTCGCCAGGATCAATAGCAATAACCAGGTGCGACCAGACAAAGCGACAAAAGCTGCTTCAAAAATGGTGATGGCGGCCAATGTCGCAAATAATGTTGCTAAGCTATCAGCGGCGTCGGATATGAGTCCATCCGGTTTTCTCACTGCCGGAGTCGCGGCTGCGAAATTAACAGGCATCGGCTTGAAGGTTGCTGGAAAGAAGGTCGGCAACTTGGGTAAGAGGAGGAATATGTATGCCGCTGCCAACTTGATTGGCGCAGCGGCGACCGTTACTGGGGCGCTTGACGGCGATTATGATCCTGGCTACTTCCAAGTAGACGAGGTCGAGGAGGTCGAGGAGGTTGAAGTTACACAGACGACAGAGATTTCGACCGACCAAGCCACTTATTTTGCAACAGAATCCGAACCTACCTACATCACTACGGAACAGACATTCATTCAACAAGAAGCATTCCCTCAGCAAGGAGCGTTCATGATGAGACAAGATCAGTTCCTCCCAGGACAACAAACATCTTACTATGTTGATCAGATGTCCTATTCATATGACCAGACTTTGGGGATGCCGCCTGACCAAATGCAGCTCCCCCAAGAAGACACCTTATCACAAGAGCCCCCTGTGGTGATCAATAACGTCAATGTCACAGTACATGAGACTCTTGTGAATGAAACGACCACTGTCCAGGACACTGAGTACACTGACAATATTCTCTTTGTGGAGACTTCGCAGAATTCCGGTTTGAATCAATACGTCAGGCAGGACGCAGTAATCACTGATTTCTCTGACCTCTCTTGGGCAGATCCTCCTTCTTTATGTAATGCTCAGGAGCCTCCGGCACCACTAGAACCTCAATTTATTGAGACTCAAGTACAGGAGCCGCCAGAGGTATCATACCCGCCCGAAACTGTTCAGCAACCCCAGATCATTCAACCGCCTCAGCCCATGGAACAATCCCCAGTTATACAGCAACCTACTCAGGTCATAGAGCAACCTGATATTGTGCAGCAGCCTCTTGTCACAGGGCAGCCTGAGGCCGTGCAGCAACCTCTCTCCAATGAGCAGCCTCAGTCCATACAACAGCCTGAGGTTAAGTACACGCCGGAAGACATACCACCAGCGCCACCAGCTCCCCCCGAAATGCCGCAGGCACCCCAGTTCCCCGATTGTTCTACCGTTATGGCCCCTTCATCTCAGGCCTGCGGAGGTGCGCCACCTCTTGTGTTTGAACCAGTTTTGGCAGCACCTCTGATGGGAAACCCACCAACGGAGCAGTCTGGCATGATATACCCCACTGATACTGCATCTCTTATATAGTTGCACACAGAGTCTGGCGCCTTGGTCTGTGTTTCATTGAGTAATATTGGAAACACATGAGACATTTTGTCCAGTTTGAATAAAATATACGAAGGATTTGGTGTGCTTCATGATCGCTAGCACAAATGTGATCATTTCTTGAAGGATAGCAATGTGACTCACATGATAGGCGTTGATAAGCGGCCGTCAAGGGTGCCCCAATTGGATTCGTTGCTGCTTCATATATCTGGGAAAGGTCCTCCTATCTCGGAGCAAACACTAAACAGTGCATGACAAGCGGCACTAAGGTGCTGGCCGCAAATGCGCACAATCGTAACGTTACGATATGATGTGCTTTCTATCAGATGTTTTTAACGTCAAGCACTCTATCACATTCGCATGATGCCAATCTTTTCTCATATGCTTCTTTATTCGAATAAAATGCTGATCGATGATAATTATGTGGTTACCGACCGCGGAGGGATTATTGAAAACCGGCATGCAGTTCATGTAGCAGTGACGGATTCTGATGGAAAGCTTCTCTACTCTATTGGAAACCCTCAGCGAATCACTCTCGCAAGATCGGCCGCAAAACCTGCACAGGCTTTGGCTGTTTTGGAAACCGGGGCCGTGGACACCTATGGTTTTGATGCTGCAGATTTGGCGCTTATGTGCGCATCACACAGCAGCGAGGATTCCCACCTGAGCAGAGCAAGCAGTATGCTCAATAGAGTCGGCGCTACAGAGACTCAGCTTCGTTGTGGTGGCCATCCAGCAATCTCCGAAGTGGTGAACCGCTCTTGGATCAAAAGAGACTACATACCAACGGCAATATGTAACAACTGCTCCGGCAAACACGTTGGCATGATTGGAGGATCCAATGCACTTAAGGCAGATGTTGAGGACTACCACTTACCAAGCCACCCAATGCAGCTGAGAGTCAAACAAGTCATGGAGGATTTGTGCGGCTTGGAGGAGAGGCAAATCCTCTGGGGTATTGACGGATGCAACTTACCCGCGCCAGCTGTTCCTCTGCTTTACATGTCTAAATTGTATGCAAAATTTGCCGATGCTGCAGATGCTGTTCGTCAGGATCAGACGGCTGCCGCGCAACGTTCACAATACATGGCCCGAGTGTTTCAAGCAATGACCACATATCCTGAGATGATTGGAGGCGATGCTCGATTCTGCACAGATCTAATGCGTGTATTCCAAGGCAACTTGATCGGTAAGATTGGCGCCGATGCCCTGTACTGTGTTGGTATCAGGGCATCCGAGCAGACCAGACGACTTGGAGCCGACGGATCGGTGGGAGTATCCATAAAAATCGAGGACGGAAACATTGAGATCCTATACGCCGTCGTGGTGGAGATTCTCAAACAACTGGAAATTGGATCGCCTCGAGAGTGGGAGGCTTTATCAAGATTCCATCGTCTAGAACGCCGCAATACTATGGGAGTAGTGGAATGACACAACTCATCTCAACGACTATGGAAGCATAGTCTTCGGAAGAATGGTTGCGGATCTTCTACTTGGACACCCACCTGTGATTGGACAGGATGTTGCATGGAATCCAGAGACATCGTGTTTCAGTAAGTGGATAAAGCCCAACGAGACATTGAGCAGCGAGATATGGCAAGGACTTCCTGCATGAAGTCATTATCAGCGCTCTGAGAAGAGCAGATGCCAGGATCGCATGATCTAGAGAATCATCTATCACAGTTTTACGGCTTGTAGCCTAGAATCAGCTTCGTCTCTGAAGCCGGCTATATTAATTGTCACATCAGCGATCATCATTTGTAGAGAACCGAGAATCACCCTGATGTCCAATCCGGGCGCAAAGGCTACTCTTGGAAGCAATACTTTTAATTATCCCTACTGAGTCCAATAGCTAGCAATGTAACTCGTGAGGCGTGCTCAGTCATCCGTGGCCAAAAGCGAGGCCCCATTGTTGATGATTGCCGGGAGTTCAGATAAATCCAGCTGAAGCCAATATGCTGGCCCCCAACCCTCATGGCATCTTTCTCAGAGGCTACTATCGCCTAGAACGACGCCGCAGCCTTGGCCAAATCAGCCAGAGCCTCTCGGCGTTTGAACTTGGCGTCCTGAATGACACCTGCAAGTATTTTAGCAAGGGGCTAAGATTGTGACATATGGTCATATCGTGGGGCACATGAAAGCATACCTGCATCGGCATCGCTCGAGAAGTATCCAGTCCACTGCACAAAAGTGCTGTTCTCAAGCTTGCCTGAGGTAACTTCATACAGGCGGATGGTGCTGAGAACGCTCGAATATGTTAACTGCGGGGATGCGGTAATCACACTGTAGGTGATGTAGTGGTTGATGGTCTATGCAGCCAGTCAGAAAGCCTGTCGCAATATGGATCCATGATTTCTAGATTCCATAGCCGCGCCAGAACGACGAGACATCGAGGATCAGTAAAAATGGGGGACTCACACTGTGTTCCTCCTGCTTGACCTCCAACTCGGTGCCATCCTTGAAGGTCCACTTCACGACATCGGTGTCATTGGTGGTGCCCTTGACGAACTCAGAAGCGGAGAGGGCGGACCAGAACTTGGAAAAGTTCTCCAGCTTGATGTGGTGCCAGACATGGGACAGAGGCGCCTCGATAACGGTGCTCTCAACCACAGAGGTGGCAGTTGGGATGGGCGTGGTCTCGGCAGCAGCAGAAGACATGGTGAGCTAAGGAGTTGCGTGAAGGTAAGATTCTAAGTACGGCCGTGGTTTGATTGTTTGATGATATCCTGTGAAGGATCTCGAGTTTGTTCGCGTGTTCGTTTGCTGGAAAGCGTTTGGTGGGAGGAAAATGTGGAGAAGTGGGAGTGCACATTATCGACGTCATAGCAGGATCACCTCACACGTGGCTGCGGAGCCTCATGTAAGACACCTGCATGCACGGTTTCTATCTGCCAAGCAATCATTTGACCGCATTGATTGAGCTACATTTCAATCAGTTGCGTGCTTTCTATCAAGCCATTGATGGCTGATGCAGAAAAGAGTTCACCGCTTGATCCTCCTGAAGGGCGTGACGGGGGTTGAGTCTACGCACCATCATTTCTTACCGTACAGGAGTGCTCTCGTCGCCGAAAGTCAACGATTTTTGCTGTCAACGATTTCATTACTTAATGACCTAACATGCTGTTTGTCGCGTATATTTTCAGCTCCGAGAAACCGTCGAGCAATATCCCAAAACACGTACGAACACTCTCGACATCTAACCCGGTTCTCAACTAAGAAAACCAAGGTTCATTATCACGCACAAACTCTTCCCATGTTCTTAACTTCTTGTCGCTCAACTGATCAATGGTCCAGGCTACATCGTTTTCACCGGTGGGGCCAAAGTAGCCATATTCAAGGAGAGAGTCGCTCGAGTTCTTGACTTCCTTCCTCTGCTCTTCTGTGAGTGTACTATCATCATCTGAATCAATTTTAAGCCTGACTGCTTTCCCTGTGACATTTGTCCAAGTATCCGTCATTTCAGTCAGAGAGTAGAATGCCGTAGCACAAGAGAAGCGCTTTTGATGGTAAAGATCAGGATCGAGCAGGGCCGGGGCGATGAATTTCCCCGCATCCCGTATGTCAATCAAGGGCAATTTAGTAGCCGCAGGCCATGGTTGAGGGAATTCGTAAGTACCATCATCTTTCTGTTTGCTAAAGTTAGTTTACCACATCCTCTCAAGAATCCGCCCTACATACCTTCTGAGGCCTCATCATCGTAAGATGATTCTGCATGAACCAGCCAGGCATGAAGAACATGCTCTTAATGTTTAGAGTTCGGATATACTTTTCGACTACAGCTTTGCTAACGAAGTGTGTAGGACCAGTTGGTTCACCCGTCGGCGACCAATCTTCGCCACTGGGAAGGGATGACCAGATAATCTGCGTTGCACCAGCCGTCACAGCCGCGTCAGCTATGGCCCTTCCCTGAGATATTTCGACTTCAGCAGACACTGGCTCCCAATCTACATCACAGCAGTTAGTTTCAAGGTGTGACTTAATGTCAAGCAAGTGTTGTCATACAGTTGGTGATCGCGAAGACTGCATAAGATCCTGCAACTGCAATATTCAGTGTGGATTTATCATTAAGGTCGGCCTATAAAGAGAAGTGATCAGCTAGAAATCAGGATATGGCATAGACTCTCATATAGAAGTTTAGCACCCAGACGAAGAATAGCTTACTTCAATAATTTCTACCCCCCTGTTCTTCAGAGCGATCGAAGCGGGCTTCGTCGCATCTCTTGTAACTCCACGCAAGCTGAATGAGCCGGAAAGTTGGGAATTCCTGAGGACATAATCGATCAACGCACCGCCCTGCTGGCCAGTGGCACCGAAGACTGTCAAAAGCTTAGCCATAATTGAAACAATGTGGTTGTAGGAAACATATGGATTGATACTATCGTCAATCGAGAGAATTTGCATCTCAACGAAAAAGCATCTTTTATATCTCAAGAGTTAGACGACGCTCATTTGTAATACGGATGGTTTTTGTTCGCCGGCGATGATGAGATCCATGGCCTCGGCCTCCTTGGATTCTCCGCCTTACTCGCGCGGTGCTAATGAGAGAGGCATCAGATGTCTCGGTTTACGCAATAGCCAATCAGGTCCTGTCTACAGACCCCATTCTGCTTATACTGAAGATCATGTGATCCTTCAAGGTACTTCAGTTGCTTTTGTTTACGCACTAGCCAATCAAACTTGATTCTGTATTCTTCATTCCCAAATGGCTTTAGAAAGTTAGTATGGTTGGTCATACCCTATCACTGCGCAATCCACACAATCCACACAATCCAGCGCAGGACCGGAGCATCTTTATGGATCCCGATGCCTAAGAGACTCCGAGGACAGGCGGGACTTGTGTCGGCCTCGAAGAAAGAGCGCAAGGGGGCTCAGGGGGCTCATAAGGTAAAGACAGGATGCATGACTTGCAAGTAAGTTTTCCTTTTTTGGAGCAATATTCTGCTGCATAAGCTTAACGTCTTCGGTATCAGAATCAGGCACAAGAAATGTGACGAGAGAAAGCCCGCTTGCTCGCAATGTACGAGCACAGGTCGTAAATGTGATCTGCTTTCCTCGTTGGAGGCTCCACCGCATCGTGCAATGCGCCAGCTCGGTCCGAAGCCATGGTCTCTTGCTAATGAACCGGGTAGTGATACCCCTCTTCAGATGATGGACGTGTGGAATTTCGAGTATTTTCGAGTCGTATATGCCAAGGAATTTTCGCTATTCCTGGGCACCAGTGTGTGGGAGACCCTGGTGCTTCGTGCCGCACTTACTGAGCGTTGCATTTTGAATGCCGTTCTTGCATTGGGAGCGCTTAGTAGGAATGCAGTGCCAAGTAGTGTGCGCAAGAAACCAGCTCTTCCACCAGAGTTTCCTATCCGATACTCCTTGACTAAATACAACCAAGCTATCCAAGAGCTCAATGGCCGCCTAGCAGCATCCCCGAGCAGTTGGGAGTTGGCTGTTTTGGGTAGTTTGATCTTCATCGTCGTTGAAAGCATTCAAGGCAACTATGATGTAGCCCAGATGCATCTCCGTGGCGCGTTGGCGATTCTCAAAAGCTGTGAGCTTTCCAGCGACGGCAGTCCTCAGCCAAGAGCCGATTTAGCTCATGTCCTCAATGCTTTCTCTCGGCTCCACGGGCAGTCATTGGGCTTGCAAGAACATTACATACACACATCGCTTCGATTTCCCGTCCTTCCTCCAGCTTTCGGAAATATCAGTGAGGCAAGGAGCTTTATTAACTCTATAACTGGCGCCATCAATTCATTATTCTGGAAAGGGGCTACGCAAAACGACGGATTGTTACAGCTGCCATCGAATCCTGCCTTAGAGAGAGATCTGTCTATCTTACTAGGGCTTCTCGATTCCTGGAATGCTCTATTTTCCAGATTTATCAATTGCCATGTCATGGACACGAAAACCGAGAGCTGTATCAAGATCCTGCTGATCCACCATCGTGTCGCCCGCATCTCTGCTCTGGTATACTTCAACTCAAGCGAATTAGCATATGATGCATACACTTCAGATTTCTCAACCATAGTCGATCTTGCTACTAAGATTATAGCGGCCGAGCAAAATCCTAGCACCTCAAGAACTCAATCCAGTCCTAATTTCACCTTCGACATCACATTAGTACAACCACTATTCTTTGTCGCGTGCAAATGTCGTGACAGTACATTGCGAAGGTATGCTATTGATGTCATGGAAAATATCAGGGGACAGAGCTTCTGTGATATACGACTATTGACACGAGTTGCGAGACGTGTTGTGACGCTGGAAGAGAGCCAAGGCTCGACTTCAGGGATGTCCCCATGCATAATTGAAGAGCAAGACCGACTACGGGATATCGAACTCGACTTCAACATAGCCGCAACATGCACAATTAGGGCCTGGAAGAGATTGGATGGTGGTGAATTGAGTGAGGTCATTGCCCATCTACACATGAGCTCGCCATAACCCTCATTACTTGAGCCTGTGTTATATTTTCATCTCCATGACTCCGGTTGGAGGCGATGCGACACGTCATCATGTTACGTTTTGGTGCTTCGTATGATACAAGACTCTACATATGTATGGAGAATAAATATGTCTCAATTGAGATCTACTATTTGTTTTGGGTATCTCTGGTTGAAGGCCTCCTCGCACTCGACGGCGGACGTGGGAAGACGTACATGTTTTGAGAGCCTCCCCGTGCCCCCGACTTGGAGACCCAGTCTTCCGTCTGTTGTTGTCTTTGGGCTCTTTTCACTCGATTGCGCATCCTGGGCTCGATATCATTGCTGTCATCAGACTCCTTGGATGCAGCTTTAGAAGGTGTGGATTTTGCTGCTTTGGGCTTTGACGACGCCTCTTGCTTTTGCGCTGCTTGCAAGCGCTTTCCAACCTTTTCCTGCATAATCGCTGCTGCAGCTGTCCTTGGTCTCTCTGCTGTAGCTTTGGGGACAGATGCTTCTTTTGTTTCTCCTGTTCTGGCAAGTTGCAGCCTCTTGTCAACCTTGGCCTGCATCACAGCGGCTGCCGCCGTCCTTGGCCGGGAGAAGTTTGTCATGCGCCCGCTAACGGTGATGCTTCGTGATAGCGGTCGAGTCGCGGTAGTACTTTCACGTGGTCGCACCACCGGTAGCGGTACCGCAACGAACGACATATTTACCGATGGAGACTCCATGCCAATGGCCGTCCAGCGCCTTGTATCGAGATCTGCAGCCTTCACAAGAACAGAGTCTCGAGGCCGCACCATTAGCAGGGGGATGTTCGGCAGCGTTGGCCGTCGTTCAACACTAGAAACATCTGAGGTTCGGGCAAGAAGACTGATCTCGTCATCTTCTCTAGAACGCACACTGACTTGATCGAATGACGTGACACCCGACATGCGTAGGTTGCTGAGATCTCTCGTCGGTGGCCGCCATGCAAACGCCCCCTTGAGATTGGGCGAACTGGTGACCTCTTGGAGAGGCCGGGAAACAAAGATTGCGCTGAGAGGGGCGGGTACGGATTGACTCCGTGCTCGGTGCCGACGATCCGGAGAATCTGCCATCAGGCCAAAGCTGTCCTGCCTGCTCTGCCTCATCATTTCTGAGGCGAAGATATCGGGTGTTTTCAGCACTTCTTTCTCGAGGTCCTGGCCCCTGATTCTCGACTTCCTCAACACAGACTTTCGTCGTGAAGGAGGCGCTGTCTTTTGGACCACGGGTGATTGCGGCATCAAGCCTCGCGAGGCGCTTCGCTCTTCGACATCATCATTCGTGGGTGACATTCTTCCTCTGAGAAACGATTGTCGGGAGACCACTGCTGTGGCGAACGGCCGATCAGAAGCCTCAATCACAGCCATGACCGCAATTGAAGAGAGCCTGGAGACTGATTAGCAAACACGTCGTCAACATCGACCAGGGTATCCTACAACGCAGAAACGCTGGCGAGCAGATTCAGCCATGGCACGTTGCCTTGGATGCCGCGGCTTGCATCCAGGCCAGTCTTCGCCGCAATCACAGCAGTGGTGACAACGGCTGCAATCCACACCGGCAGCGACAGGCGCGCCAGCAGGAGAGCGAGAGCCACCACGTAGTGTCCGTAAATTTGAGGCGATCGCGATCCATGATTCTTGATGTATGTTTTTCTCGAAGCGATTAAATGGAGAACGACATAAATGATGCTCATGCAAGAAGCAACAAGCACCAATATCCGGCTAGCAAAATCACCGGGGCTTTCGAGCTTGAGCAAAGCAATGACGACAAATAAAGCGATCCCAGATCCGGAGGAGAGAAGGACAAGTAAGAGTGACAGCAATGACAGGAATGGAAAGCGGCGCGGCTTTGGTTGGCGGCTCTGTGAATTCCCCGTGACGTCGGCGATTATCGAATCGCGAGATACTTCGTATGAGATGGGATCAAAACTCTTCTTCGAAGCCATCTGCATCACAGATTAGAGAAAGTTTCAGTGCACCTGTGTCTCCATGAAAGCTGAGCTTTGTAGAGTGAAATTGGCGAAATGAGCGTATCTGACCAGCAGAGATTAAAGATTAGACAGAAATTATTCGACTCCTCATCCTCCCTTCTCGTCGTGATCGCAACAGGTGTGGTATGACCAGGACCATCGAGCTGAACAAGCAAGGGGCCTCAATCGAGGCGCTGGGCTGAAAGTATTTATTGCTTTATCTTCCCTGTATTGAAATTTCAGGGATGTTTCTAGGGGTGAGGGGCCCAGACTTACAAGCCTCACGCCAGACCCAAGCAGACAGCGGGCTAAACATCTGGCGGGAATCATGTCTCGATCGTCCAAACAATTCCCGGTCTGTAGAATCGAGCTTGTATTGGTCCGGTACTTGCAGTGGTAGCATTACCGGGGATTTTCGAGGCTCTTGGTGAGCTTGGCCATTCATTGCCTGAGCGTAAGAGTGGCTGAGGCTGTCTCGGCCGGGGGGGTGCTCGGACAGCTGGCCCAAGCGGATGAGACACGCTGGGACCATATCAACGGGCGCGAAGTGACACCAAGAAGCAATGCGTTTCATCCCCATGTTACTATCTACGGTTTCTATCGACTTGCGATTGGCTTCAGGCTTGCCGAAACCCGGTGCTGATCAAGGTTAGCAGTCCCAGGTTCGCACCACCGGCCAAGAGTCTATCTATTCTGAGCTGCATTGCAGCGCATCTGACCATTCTCGAAATGTTGACGGAATGAGCCGTTTCTTGAATCGAACAATATCAGAACGAGGTATCTATAATGCCTATAGTTTGTCTATTTAGCCATCGGCTGCTCGTTTTGCGGTCGACGGCATCCACACAAAGCAATGGATGTTGTTCCTTCTTATGGAATGGGTATAACCCGGCAGTGATGCGCCTAGTTTCTCTTTGACCGTTTCTCGATGTCGGCAGAGGGTGCGATCATGTGTGATTTCTACCCAGTACTGATCGTCTTCCGCGTCGTTCGTGTGATCTCAAGGCATCAAACAACAGCTGGTTGTCGACAAGACCGATACGCTTGAGTGGCTGAACTCGTTTTTAGCATTAGGATGGGTTTATACGGTTTCGATTCCCCCCAGGCTTCAACCATGTCCATGATTGTGACCACGGGCTAAAATGTCCTTACAAACCACCAGCCGCTCATGTGCCTCCCGCAGAAGCTCAAAGTTGGCTTCTGCGAAGATGTTGTGTAGTCCTTCTAACAGATCAGGAAGACCTCCAGCCAGGTCGGACGCTTTCGTCGTCTCGCTCAGCTCAGGCTGGTTCGCTACAGTAGTCAAATACTTGACAATTCGGGTGTGGTTTCCGATGGGATCTACCAAAGCAGGGATTGTTGAATGGGCTCGAGAGCCAGAGTTGCCACCGAGTGCGCAAACGAATGACCATATGCTAAGTGCTGCGTAATACATGATCCACGGGCGGTGAGGATCCGGTTCGCTACGGCACGAGTATGTTTGCCTTGTTATGGGTGGTAAGCTGATGGCCCCGAGCCCTGCTTGCATCGGTCGTTTCTTCTCGTTCCTCCTCGGATCAACAAGGACCCTATGCAAAAGCTTGAAAGCATGCAGAATAGCATGCCTCGTCGATGGTAAATTGGCCCATGCTTTCATGCGGGTTTGAACATTCATGTAGTCTCTTGTAGACACCTTCCGTCCCAAAAGACGTTTTGCCCCAGCATATACTTGGCAATCAATAATGTCAACGTGAAGACTGATGTGGGCTAGATGATACAATAATGCGGCGCTTTGAATTGGCCCATTTGTCGACCCTGCCCTCTGGCCGGCGCCTTCGGACATTGAATCCATAGAGCCTTGTGCACTATCGAAACTGTCTTTCCAGTCATCGAAAGCGCGCAGCAATGTCTTCCGCCAGGTGTCCTGAGTTTCGCTGCTCGGAGCGGTAAGGTCCAGCCACTTGAGATGCGTCTCGCGATGACTGAGGTGCCAGCCAACACTGAGAAGGCCGCTCATGATGATCATCCGACCGAAGCTGTGTATCTTGACTTCCTTACCGTGTAGCGCCCGCTTGAGGCCATCGAGGAATGAGATCGGCTTCACTCCGTACATACGGAGGTTTGCGTCTAATTGTCGAACAACATCTGGTGATGACGCTGCCCACAGATTATCGTCACACGGTAGAGGCAGACGTATCTCGTGCGGTGCCATATGAGCCTCGTGTCCGAACATTGCGGCATGGATAACGTCAAGCATGAACGCGACAAAGACGACGCGATGCATTGCTTCTGTTTCAGCCCAGCGAATCCACCATGTTCTGGAATCGAGCGGAACGCCCTGACCTTGCTCCCCTGCACCTGCCGTGCCCTCCTCAGGCGGAGATTCACTCCCGGATCGGCCGATGAGAGGGCTGCCGCGACGGAGCAGTGTCAGAGTAGCGGAGTGGTAGATATGAGCGCGCTCATGTAGCTTGCGGGACGAGTATAGCTTCTCATAGAATTCGAGGAGTAGCAGCGCCTGTGCCACCCACAAGCCTACGGGCGGCGCGGCTTCTTCAGCTGTCAATATCTCCCATCGTATGGAGGATATGATTACATCGGCAAATGATCCATAGTCAGACAGGTTTCCGCTAACGTCTCTACTACGTAAGGATGCTGCACCTAATGCAATCATAACCATGACCAGAAAGACGGGACATCGGTTGCAGGAGAAGGTGGGCTGGTGTACAATGGGAACACGGGGAGAGACATGCTCCCAATATTCGTGTAAACAGTCTCTCATCATCTCCAAATTCAGGGCGGGTAGGTCGCCGCCACTATCGTGTACTAAGTTGACAATAAGGCCCTCCGACTTGGGCTGCTTGGATCTGAACACCTGGAACCAACGCAAGATTTCGTGACGTTTGAATTCGCTGAGCAAATCATCATTGTCAACAACCCTGGGCGGCGTTTCAAGCTGTGACCTGCTCGTCAGCGACTCGTAGTCGTAGTGAATATTGCTGTTAAAAGGTGACTCCAAGCCGCCCTCTAGGAATGGGAGACTGGCAACGCTGAAGTCGCCATAGCTGCTTTGTGGGTCGAAGAGCCAGACGGCAAAGTTATCGCGGTTCATAACCTCGTCGCCCTGAAACTGGACATTTGGGAATGATAGAACGTTAGTCTGGTCGGGCAACGGAGGCGCATCACGGGCGAAGTAGTTCTGCTTGGAGCGGACAATGTTCGCTGCTCCAATGTCTGGCACCGCAGTCTGCCAGTTGGCTGCCGGTGTCATTCGCGAGGGCGGCGGCTGGGGCAGAGTAGATGTCGGCTGGGCAGTGCTGGAGTCGGGGGTTAAGAGGATAGCAGCATCATGGGGGACACTGGGAGATGGGTGGGGGAAAGCAGCCGGGCGCGCCTCGCCACCGCTTGGAGGCGACAAGACGGGCGTCGCGCCGGGAGTGCTGAAGCTGGGGGCGCGATTTCTGGGGATATATGAAGAGTTGTGACGCTTCTTATGCCGGGCGAGCAAGTCGGCGCGCACAAACTTCTGGTCACAGTCGTCGATGTCGCACTTGTAAATCTCCTTGGGATTGTCTGCGACGGGATTAGCAGTGGCTTCTTACGCGACACGGCTCCATTTCGATCGCGGGCATGCGCCGGATGAAGAACGACAGAGTCATCGGTGGGTCGCCTTACGATTCAATTGATGCCTCTGGAGATGTTCTGCTCTCGAGTACAGCTTATCACAGCCTGGATAGTCGCAGCTGAAGCGGCGAGGGGCGCCCCTGCGACTTGCGCGCTTGTAGCCGCCACCAGTGCTGGCAGGCGAGTGCTGCTGTTCGTGATTCACCATGGAATCATCTTCATCGTCGTGCATCTGCATGGCGCATAGTTGCTCTCAAGCTGAGAGCTGGCAGTGCTGGTGAAGAAATCGACAACTTCAGTGACTCTGGGACTGCAACAACCACCATCGCGTCATTGTGGAGGCAAACAGGAGGAAGAGGGGCCTGGGGAGCCGACACGGTGAGATATGACAAGATGGAGAACCCTTGAAAACGCTACGATTGAAGACAAGGGCAATCAATGCTCAGAGCTGCTTGTTTTTCCCGGGGGAAATTGGCAATCCGAGGTGAGAGAGAGGGCGACGAGTCGACGACAGCGGATACGGAGACAGACAGGCAGGAGAACCGTGGGGTTCTCGTTCCTCTTCCCCAGAATTCCGTGCGCGATGTTCGAACGGTCTGCCCGGCCATCCCTCGTTGGGCAAGGTCGGACCCCCACGTCCCCCCTCCAACAGCTGCTAATAAGATTGCGCCCCCACGCCACCAACCCACGCTCTCCTGCATGAGTCGTGGCTGTTGGCACCAGATGCCCCCCAACCCCCCAAATTTCATCCCACCCTCCTTCTCACCCTTCTTAGTCGTGTTATTAACGGTTGCCAGCTTCAAGGGTGCTCACTCGTCCACAAAGGGCGACCGGTGTGAAATCGATACGACTGCCAGTCTTGGATTGGTTAGACAAGGGCCAACCGTGACCATTACCTCTAATGTTAAGGATGAGTGTCCGACTTGGAGTAAATAAATACCTGTATATGAGAAGCAATGGAGCATGAGAGGTTAGCGGAGGTGCAGCCAGATAAGACGGAGGGGTCCTGAGACCCTCTCCGAGCTCTACGCCTTCAGCCGCAATGCATACAACGTTTGATCTCCGAACATGCACAACGGTGGATTTGATCATGCACCATGTTGACACCCAGGAGACATGGCCTCTCAAAAGCTGATTCTGAAAACCTGGCTCTAAGTCTGGATCTGCAGCATATCAGTCCTTATATGGGGTTCGCGATCGCGTACGCCGATGCAAACAATACAACTGTTCAATCCCCGAGACATTGCCTAGAGCAAGCGCGGTCAAATAGTTGAAGCCTCGACTGTTTGTAGACCCCACGACCCTGTCTATGATGGCGAGCTGGAGGATTCCACTTGATAATGGTGACTTCGTAGGTTTTAGAGCCAGCACCTCTATTTACGGCCTTGAAAATCTAACAACCGCTGTGACCGGTAGGGAGGGTACATCGATGGCAAAACTCAAACATATCGCCAACCAAGATCCTAGGTCCCAAGGTTCGGGAGTTGGGCTTGTAATGCTCCCCGAATCTTGTCCTCCCAGAGCTATAGACGCCTTGCCGCCTTAACAGGCGCTAAACCGGCATTAAGCAGGACGAGCATAGATAGGCACTAGATACTCTACGAATATGGTTTAGCTAAGTTGGTGGTGCTTTATACCTTAGAGGAGCCTAATAATATAACTGTCAACTCTTTATAAGGGCTTTAACAGATAGCTGTTTTAGACGACTTAAGTACTAAAGTAAATATAAAGATTCTCTTTTCTACCATTATATACTTATATGCTAAGATTCTATATAATGTCTAGAAGAATAAGATTATGGCGATCCACGGCCACACCAAAAGGGCGTTCTCTGCCGAGTTCACAGTTGATCGACTTCCTGAATTGTTTCGACGCGGTATGGTCTGGGTATACGTTCCCCTGCCGTGGGCAGAGAAGCTCATTGCCTTCGGCCCTCTTATCGTAGGAAACACCGATAGACACTTGACAGTCGGCAATAGGCCCTGCTTTTTAGTATTTACCTCCCCTCTAGTAAAAGGTACAATGACTACTGAGGGCAGCTCCGAATGTTATTAGCAGGTGATGTTATAAAAGGGCGTAACCGGCCAGACGGCGGTACGGGCTTCCTTCTCAGCAAAGGAACGCCAGCTGCGCTAGTTTACGGCGTACGATATGCTCGCCCCATCTCCTTTCTATCGCCATACTACGATGGCGACCTTACAGAAGAAGCGACCATCACCTCGTATAGCCCCCCGGTGGTGGATGACTGTCCTCATCTGCACTGGTATAGCTCGTATGCCGATCTTGAAAATGTCCGCCGGGTTCGGCTGTTCTGGGACAAACACAGAACACAATATTGTAGAGGCCTACTCTTCGACTACGAGAATAGCGCTCAACGCGTCTTAGGTCAGTGTCGTCTCCACGTTGACCCGCATGAGACGTTTATAAGGCCCATGTCGTTTTGCTTCAAGAGGACCGAAGATGATGATTCCGGGGCAGAGCAGACAAGGACAATGGTCCAATTCGGTGATGGACTAGTGCATAGTCACGATGGTGATGATGGCTGGATCTGTTTCTCAATGGCCGGTACTCTTGGTTTCTACTTTACGGAAACCTGGCGGACAGACCTGGCTTCTCTGTTTCTCCGAATACCGAATAACCGAATAACCGGAGTTAAGTAAACAGAAGAGAAAAGAAGTGAAGTATTTCTTACAAGGATCGTGTCTGATTATACGAAGGAAACTGAAGTATACTATCCGTCTGTCCTCCCCCCTCCTCCTTGGCCCCCAGATCCATTCAAACCTAGCAGCCTACTTGCTCGCAAGCCGCTTCATATTCCTGAAGTCCCATCCACTGCGAGTCTTGCTCTTGAGCCCTCATCCACTCTCGGCATCTCTCCTCAAGAGACCGATAGTGATCTTCAGGGAGGCGGGCGGGAAGATCTGCTTCTTGTTCGACCTCCAAGCCTTCGAAAGCAAATCGAATCTTGTCTGCAACCTCGGAAAAAGGTTGTGCCGCTGACTTCAACATCCAGGCTTCTTGGAGAACGCCCTGTAGGACAGACGCGGCCGGGGCGATTGGGTAGGCCCCTCGACGGGTTTTCTCTCTGAAGCTTGTGCGCTCTTGCGGAGTCGTAATGGCATAAGCTTCCTGGTCTGGGTCGATCCCGCTGAGAATGTAGTGTAGACAGCAGGCAAGACGCTGGTGTGCCTGTTGCATGACTCTTTGGTAGTACTCGCCGGGGTTGTTGTTCCCTACCTTGTTGGCGTCTGCTTCATACTGCGCGATTTCCTCGGCCGACGGTGTGCGAGGCGACGAGCCAAAACCGACCAACTTGAGTCGGCCTGTTCGGTCAGTACCGAGATCCTGAACACGAATCTGCGGTACAAGGCCCATGTTTCCGAGATGTGCAAAAGCCGAGACAAGCTCCATAGCCCAGCGACGCCGACGAGGCATGTCGGCACCTCCCCAGACAGTCATCAGGGGAGACAGGCGCTCGAAAAAGGCAATGTAGGGCTCGCCGACTTCAAGCTCGCGGACCAAGTTGGGATGCGGCGTGTTCTTCAGTCTAGAAAAGATATCCCGCTCGAGGTTATGGGAGATGAAACTGCCTAAGGAGAGATCAAGCAGCAATCGCTTTGATGGGAGGTCGACATCAGCAACTCGATTTTGGATCTGCATCTTGAGGACGATATCATCATCCAAGAAGAATACGGCAGATCGGTTGAAGTTCTGCCGGTGTTGGGGGAGGTCTGCATTGATCTTGACTGGGAAGATGGGGACATGAAGACTAGGAATGAAGAATAGCTGGTCTCTGGGTAGAGTTTGAGCATGTTCGAAGGCTTCTAAAGTATCCATCTCACGAACTTTAATTCACAGAGACTAGAATGAGAGACTCGGTGAATAGGCAAGATAGGGGAGTGTGGTATGGTGATGTTGAAGGATGAAGGATGAACCAGAGGGGACGAGCTTAGACGATGGGGTGGGTGTATATTTATATAAAGTGTCCAATTTTGCCCATCGCCACCGGCGCAGCCGTATCACATTTCTTTCTCAGCATATCACAAAGTCCAAGCTTATCATACATTCACGCCCCTTATTGTCAACAAGTTCTAATCGGTCCACCCCTCCCAATCTAGAAGCGAAAGGTCCAGCCACTCACATCCAAGAGTCAATCATTCAGAACCAACAGCATGGCAGCAACAAACCAACAGCATCACTGGCGGCGCCTCCGCCGCCTACAATCGTGGCAAGGGGTTGGTGACTCAATATCCGGCCCCGACCTTCCACGGTCCTGGGGATTGGCACAGTCTCGGATGCCACGGATGGGGCACTAGTTGGTTGTCTTGCAGGGGTAGTATCCGAAGTCCTGATGACCGCAGACGAAGTAGACGGCGTACATCTTAATCTCGCACATGTTGTCGCAAAGTAGCACAATACACTGGAGTTGGTGGCTGCTGTCAGTAGGTGCTCGACTATTCAAGATAAGGGTGAGTGAGCTTACAATTTTGATCAGGACCTTGTTGAAGCTGGTTGCTTGAGATTCGGGTTGTTGTGAGATGTGAGATGTCGAAATTCTGCTAATGGCGCAACCAACGGACAAGTAGCGAGGTTATATGATAGTGAGGCAATTTTTAGGACAAGAACCAAGATACGATCGTTGGTGAGCTTTTTGTCTGCTTGGTAGACCCGAGATTAGGCTGGAAATGTTGCCCTTTTATATATGTAATGGCTCTTGGACATTAGACTACTCTGTATGTATCTCTGGCGCCAAAAGGAAATGAAGCGGCCATCTTCCGGGTTTGGAACGATAACCGTGAGGTTAGGGTCTCTTCTGGCGTTGTTGGCCTCAAATCAACGCCGACTCCTGGCGTCTAAGAGAACGCTTGAGATAGCAGACGGAATGCGTAGGTCAGAGGACGAACCTTCTTGCCTAGGTACCCTCCTACGGTTAGGTCATAGCTCCATGTGCATACCATGACGATTGCTACTAATATATGAGTATCCGGCCGCTTCCCGGGTTCGGGGGTGGTGGCTTTTTGGTTGCATGTGACTGCCGCCGACCGTTTCCACGGACATCTTGTTGGTTGATTGCCGCCGGCCGTCTCTATCGTCCTTATGCTGATTGATTATTGCCGACCAGTCGTCTCCATGGCCATTTGTTGCATGAGTTATCGCTGGTCGTTTCCATGAACCTTTTATTGGTTGATTACCTTCTTAAAGGCCACCAGTATTCGGTGTGTGTCAACATTGAGTTCGTAGATGTTAAGATGGAGACATTAGCGTAATGGTTTCAAAATTTCGCAAGGGAGTGATCCCAGCTGTCATCTTTACTCGGAGGGCAACCCATGTGAACCTCATTGTGTTGAGCCTTTCGTATGAAGGTAGTGTCGGGGAAACAGTCATGTTTGACGGCCTAACGATGTCCGAGGGCTCAAGAGTTGGGGTCATGTACGTCACTTCAAACAGATGCTGTCCAAGGTAAACATTAGACCAAGGCAAAACTAGCTAGGGATATAATTATTTAGAGATAACTAGTAAATAATGGTAATATTATTTTGAAAAAGCTACTGCCCAAAAGTAGCTGCTTCTTCACGCCGATGTCACAGCAACCATCATGATGTAGTACCGGTGACAGATTTGATGAGAATTTTCTCGATTAGCTGAGAAGTGTAGGTATTTTGAGTGAAAGAAGAGCCAGCTTCTTAAGGCAAGAACCGTGACCTCAAATACTTGAGGAAATATGTCAAATGGAAACACGTGGACACTCTTTTTCTTCAACTTGCGATATCCGTTTCCATCAAAACAAACCGAGTCGTCATTTCTAACCTCTTCCCTCATTGCCCCATATTTGTGAAATCCGGGTAGCCCCAGAACGTTCTGTCCGTAAAAAAGACGACGCACTCACCGATCAGCTTGGAAGCATGTCGCGTTGTTCCCTTCTTTCCACGCATTGACTAACATCTCACAATGAACTAAATTGAGCGCTCATCTGCGCTTCCACAACTATATTCACTGTATGCATCGGGCTTCGCTCCGACTTTTGCGCAATAATGGAAGCAGGCACAGAATTCCTGCCTTCCGCGACGGCATCACCAGAGACTTCAGCCAGCAGTGAGACGAGCATCTCTCAGCCGGTGCTTCACAGATCCCTAATCGAGCCACTGACCACCCAGGATGGCAATAACGACCTTCTGCCGGCCAAGCTAGGGTGGATGATGAAAGGTACGAATACGTTCATCACAACAATCAAAACAACAGACATTTTGTCATGCTGCAGTCGGGTTTCGACTAGATTTTTTGATGTACACGGTTCATACAGTTGGGTAAAAACACCAGACCCGGCTATTTTTGTACCTGGTGCGAAACTTCAGGTGACAATTTCTCGAGTACGTACTGACAACTGTTAAAGGTGGCCCTAAGATCTTCGAACCTGTTGATCAGGACGGGCACTCTCTCCCTCCCCCCACAATTGACAAACCGCGCAAGTACGTCAACGAGAATTCCTCTCGGATGCCAATTTCCCATTTTGAGCCCATGTTCCGAGCGTTGATAGCGGCCGACCACCTGTATAACTACAACAATGTCGACTTTGTTGCGGATAGTGAAACACTCTACATGCTCTTTTTGCTTTGCAAGGGCGACGAAGATACGAAGGGATTCCGCATGGACGCCAACATCATCGGGACGACCACGTTTCTAACCCTCTGCGAGAAGCGCGGCAAACCGATCTTCAAAGATGATGAGGCTGCCGGCGCTGGGTTAGTTTTCCCTGCCAAGCTCTTGAAGACTCCAAATGGCCTCCACGACAGCACATCCTCTTGGCGTATCTTGCAATACGACCTGGAAAAACTGAGGTGCATTGTTCGATCTGAGGTCGATGCAATTTATTCTAATGACAACTGCGAGCCAAATACGAACATGCCTGTTTTTGGGCATTTGATCAAAGTCCCCGACAGTTCGGATGTTTCGCCTCGCATCAATAAATCGCTATCCGTCGTTGCACGCGGTCGCCCAGCAACTCCCTCTGATACTGCCCGTATTCTCACCAATTACAGAACTGATGCACTCGGTGAACTATTACCACAGCTATATTTTGACCGTACCCGCTGGCTGGTGGATGTCACGCAGAAAATCGATAATGTTGGCGCGCATTTGGTCACTGAGGTGACCGACCTCACTAAGCATTACCGATCGTGGCAATCAGAGCATCAATACAGCTTGAAGAAGCTTGTAACGCTGCTCGCCACCATTCGCCGTTTTGCAAAGGACAACGATGGCAGATGCATTGGTATATGTGAACATTATAGGTTCCCGCCTAAGCTTCATCTCTTCTCTTCAAGGATCACTCACGAACGGCTTCCTGAGGACATTATCGAAAAGTTCTGGCCGGAAGGGCTCAGCAACAAGCTTCCAGATTCTATTCCCAGACCGAATTCTGTTCAAGGCACCTCATGCCGGGCTGACCCGCAGCAGACTTCACGCCTTAAGGAGAGATCAGACCTTACCGAAGAGATGCCAAACAGAGTAGCCCGACTAAGTGCGGCCATTCGAAAAGCAGAAGAGGAACGTGTCAAGTCTGAGAGAGAAGATGGAGATGTAGAGAAGAAGACAGCGAACTCTAACGCAACGAACGAGGAGCTGGACGATGATAGCCGGCTAGCCAGCATGTTCGGGAAGGACAGTGTGTGGGAGAAGGAAACGAGGAATGGAGTGCCATTCATTGACTATGGGAATAATGAGGACATGGAAGATTCAGAGGACCATGCAGACCTCGAGGATGACAAGATCCAATATAGTGAGCAAGAAGAAGCCGAGGTAGTGATACGTGATTCGGAAGAAGAGTCTACATCTTCTTCGAGTGAGAAGGGATCTGCTTCACCTGTCCAAACTGTTCGCGGTCGAGGAAGGGAATTATGGGTGTAGTGTAGCTTAGCTGCGAATCGCTCATTCATCGCGGAAATAGCATTTTAGGGAGTGCTCCTCGGCATGGCCGTAATGTCTGTGAAGATCATACCTTCAAATCAGCATGTAGTGCAGCAAAAATTCATCAAGAGTTTTCATTGTTCATGTTTTGCCTTCCTCCGTTGTATCCTCCCCTTCCTCACCCCCTTCTATGTCCATCCCTTGCGCGGCGCCGTTTAACCCCTCCTCATTTTCACCTTCTAGCCCTCCGGATTGCGACAAGAAATAATCGACGACATCCGTCTTCTCTCCAAAGCTCGCTAGGTCTAAAGGAATGTAGTTCTTGTCGTTGGCAAGGGCTGGTGACGCGCCGCCCTCAACCAGAAATTTGACCACTTCCAGATGACCGCCAAGGGCTGCCCAGTGTAGGCCTGTATTGCCAAACTCATTAGGTGCATCGAGGAAACTTTGCCTATCCTCTTTTGGCCTTGAGTCAAATTGTTCTAGTAATGACTTAACAATCCCTGGACCTTGGTTAGTCACTGGTCTCTAGCTCAAGGATATTGCGAATTCCCCAAGATTCAAATCCACAGATCTCGAGAAAACTCGCATCTTGAATAGTATTCATAACGCACCTAGATGGCCATTTCCAGTGGCCATGTGCAGGCACGTTGACTTCCCGTCGTCCTTCGCAGCTTGCAGGATCTCTGCTGCCGACACTTCCTCCCGTGATGCCAGGGATGTCAATGTCTCTTTGAGCTCAGCCTCCTCACCAGCACGGGCAAAGTAAATGAGGTCATCAATCTCATCTTCACTCAAGTTTGGCGCCATGGTGTCTGTTTGTGAGCTTGGGCCTGGCAAAAGTCGAGGCATGTGAAGCTCGAGTGTGACATCACAAAAATTTTTGTTCGAACCAAAGCAGTACAGTGTGGAGTGCGGACCCACTCAAACGCACTGTGAGCTCCCATAACCTTGAGTGCCGCAAATCTCAATCCCTTCCCTCACCTACAGCGCGCAAATGAATATTACGCGTCAATGTCCGACTCAAATTATTGAAACCCCGGTCAAATGATCTCCATTTACGCGGGAAACGATACGCAATGGTTGTGAAAACCCGGCGCCATAGCGCCAAGAGGCAGCTCCTGACTCCCGTGCACAGCAAGACTGCCTGAGATGAACATATATGATAAATTATGGAACTTGAAGAGGTTGAGAGCATAATTATGAGTCTACATCAAGCTCTTGATGTGGTTGCGCTGACAATTAGTCCCTTCACCACAGGTCAATGGACTCGCATCCCTAGTGGGTGATGGACTGCCTCGGGGCAGATACATGAATGAGGTTTGTAGGAAATGTATGAGGAAATATCGAACTTGAATGAAGGCAGCAGTCTAACTCAAACAGGCACTTTCGAACAACTCTCATTTTTGACTGAATGATTAGTTTCTTTACGCCGCTTAGTCGATGACACGAACGGGTCGTGGTCGACGGTGACGAATTCGCGCGACTCATTAAGCCTGGGTGCACTCGACCTGCAAAACCAGGTATGAAGAATCATGAAGCTGCTATAGGTGCCTAATCTTGTGGTTGTTGAAATTTCAATAGTCAGAAATCATTCAGTCGTCTTTTCTCGTCTCTCGATGGGACGCTACAGTCAGAAGAGGGTGTATGACCACCGCAACATAGAGGGTAGCCAATCTTTGAATCTTCATCAACACTCCCGGCAGCTGCCTTGACTTGCCACGGTGAGTACCAGACCGACCTGGATTATCGGTTCGATTGCTAGGGCGTGTTCGAGCGACTCCAAGTGAAAAGATAGGCTGCAGGTGAGGCGCGTTCTCTTAGTAAATGTGACTTACTTAAAGCATGTTGTTATCGTGGTTTGCGTGATAATGTTTAAGTTGCCCTGTGGCGCCATCCGGGATACCATTGGCGGAGGCATAGATACTCGTTTGGCTTCTTGAAAAGGTGCATAATTCTGGAACTGGAAAAAAAGAGATCATGCAGTATCTCAATAGTAGGAAAACCATATCCCTGCTCCTAACTGCAAAAAATGTGCTTGGAAATCAACGTGAAGAAAACCAAACCAGGGCCCTAATCCTTCACTGGGATCGGATCAACCGTATTCCCACATATGAATGGATATCAATCATGCACCAGTAGGACAACATCCCCAATGAAGCTACTGGGACAGGCGTGGTCTAAGTTGTACCCTATGAGGGAAGTACCAGCCATAAATAGGGTAGGCAGACCGAAAGACCAGTTCAAGTGGCTTGTAGCGCGTGGCTTGCAGAGCTCCCTACCGGATGTTAGCCGAACGGCGAACTCATCCGGTGTCCTGGGTCCACATAGTTGATACCAACGTACACGTCGTCAAGGATAATGCATGGAAAGGGCCGAGGAAGGCATTCTTCGGTTAGCGTACCGCTCCGGGCGGTCAACTCCCGGATGAAGTAAGCCAATCAACACACACGGATATACGAGAGCGGGGAGTCTGCGATTCTCCGGAATAACCTTATTTGAATGACGAGAACAGGATGCAGTAATAGCGGAGCGGCCGAGAGATGGACAACGTGGACAATATGAACGTAGAGAGGGGCCAGACGCGGTAGATATTGGATGTTCGACGACAATTACCCGCATTCGAGCGTCATGTCACTATTCACCATGCGGCGATTTGGCGCTATTTTGAGTCTAAAGAGACCATTGTCCCACCACTCAGGAAACGCCAAAATGCGGTAGTCACCGAAGGATTGGTGGTTTTGGGCCTAGGGAGTCTTATATCTTGAGGGAAATCGGGAGTAGTTGATCAAGATGGGCTCTTCACTGGCTACGGTGAGATCTGCGACTCGGTCCTCCACGATGAAGGAGGCGCTGGTAGCACCAGGTAAGTGCTCTTTTCTTCAAGTACTAGCATATAATGAGAGTTAGAATTCATATTTTCTACAGGCCCGAAAGTCAAAGTCGTCGAATCACCAATTCCTGAGCCGAATGATGACCAAGTCCGCATTCGAGTCATCGTGAGTGGCTCTAACCCGAAGGATTGGAAATATCCTATGGTCACTGGTACAACCGCGAACCAAGGAGATGACATTGCCGGCATTGTCGATAAGGTGGGCGCGAACGTGACAGAGTTCAAACTTGGGGATCGTGTTGCTGCGTTCCATGAGATTGGGAAGCCTGGTGGAAGCTACGCGGAGTATGCGATTGCTTGGCAACATACCACATTCCATATACCCAAATCGACAAGTTTTGAAGAGGCGTCCACAATCCCTCTAGCATCTATGACAGCCGCCCTGGGTCTATACCTAACCCTGGGACTTCCACAACCCTGGACACCTGCCAAGGAGCCAACTCCTGTCGTTTTGTACGGCGCTGCATCAGCTGTGGGATCTTACGCTATACAGTTGGCAAAGCAGAGCAATATCCATCCTTTGATATGTGTTGCAGGAAGGTCGATTGCACACGTAGAGAAGCTCATCGATAGGAATAAAGGCGACGTGGTTGTCGATTACCGCGAAGGTGACGATGCGGTGGTCGAGAACATCAAGAAGGTCCTGGGACATACAAAGCTATTACATGCTTTAGATTCCGTTTCGGAAAAGGGGAGTTACCGCAATTTAGGAAAGGTTGTCGCGCCTGGTGGTACAATTACGACATTGTTGCCTGTGATGGAGCAGGATGCCATACCTGATGTGGTCGCCGCCCCTCTGACGTTTGTGGGGTCTGTGCATCGCGATGCTCAGGATTTCGGGCATGTTTATTACAGGTACATCACCAAGGGATTACGGGATGGTTGGTTCAAGCCGCAGCCACATGTTGTCGTCGCCGGAGGTCTGGAAGGTATCCAGGAGGGTATGGACAAGTTAGCAGCTGGTAGAGCAACGGCTCTCAAGTTTGTATTTCGTATTCTAGAGACTAACGGAGTCGATAAGGACTTGGATCTGATATGATTAGATATAGATATAAAAACGATATAACTTTTACTGCGATGTAGTGAAAGCGTCTCTTGTCGGAAACGAGTGATGTCTCCTACTGAGACCGCACGTCATACTATATGCAAAAGTAAAATCCAATCGGACACTGCAAATACACGCAATTGCCATCATCTATAGTGAAATATAGAATTACGTAGCTATAGGATACTCAACTCGTTACACGAAAACATATATCCGTCTCCGCCTAAAAATCTCAATGCTTGTTGGATATCATGATACACAACGACTTCGCGGTTAGCCTCGCGCTGAGATTCGATTGACTACTCTAAATTGACGCCTAGTTCCATATTAAATGCCATCTTCCTGTGCAACATTGCCATATTCTAGTGAGCCATACTTCCGAGTGCCGAGAGCATAGGCTATGTCGCCACGCCATTGTGTAAAAGTTCCTTGCCAATTGAGACCATTCAAAATCTCGCCTAGATTGCTCCAGCATCACTTCGAAGCCTCGTGCGGGGATCCTGGTCAGTTCAGTACCTATGCCAGGTTGTTGTAGCATTGTCTACCACCTCGGACTGCATCAAATGCGAGCGCTGCGGCTGGTAACTTGCCTTGCCGAAATTGGCTTCGACCAAATAAATGGTGCATCGTCCTCCGTCTTTCAGGCTGTCTTTACTATCATAATAGCAATGATTTACGATGTTTTACGTGCCGCCCCTGCGCTTTCTTTGACTGGCCACGCCGAATATTGCAATTTTGATCCAACGAGAATTTAGCCATGGTGGACCTGCATCACCGTTCGAGCCTCACTTGCTCCCATTCATCCACCAATTTGGGACAGGTGGAGATATTGATCTATTCCTCGCATCAAAGTCCCTTCTTGTTTAATCAAGGCTCGCTTGCTAATTCCTCTAACGTCTATATTTCCGTCATCCTGGTAACCACATTTCACGATGGGCCAAGCTATAAAGCTAAAAAGATGCCCTGGATTCCCAAATCCGCGGTTATGCAATTCGGCAAAGTTGGCACTGGGCCGAATACAACCTACTCACTCACTGCAAGATTGCAAAAATGCGTCACGGCTGGGATTTTCTGTTTGCGGCGTCTGCGGTGGCAGTTGTTCGTGCGACTGATGCATCATATGACTACATTGTCGTCGGGAGCGGTCCAGGCGGTGGGCCACTGGCTTGTGACCTCGCCAGGGCAGGATACTCCACCTTGCTCATTGAGGCTGGAGATGACCAGGGCGACAACCCGACGTACGCGGATCTTGCCAACTTTAATCAAGCTGGCAACGACGAGCTGAGCCGCTGGGACTTTTGGACAAAGCACTCTGATGACGCGGCCCGCGAGCTCAAGTTCGAGCACACCACATGGAGGTTGCCCAACGGCAGCTTCTATGTTGGCGTTGATCCTCCCGCTGGTGCCACACATTTGGGTATTCAGTACCCTCGGGCGGCGACACTGGGAGGTTGCGCCAGTAAGCAACCTTTGGAGCTCATTTTCACCTCATTTAGCCATGTTTGGATTAATGGAGACAAAGGCAACGTCGCAATGTGGACGGTGTCTCCCGAGACATCCCTTTTTAAGCCTTTCCGTGCTCTTTCACTGTCCTTGTTAGGAAATTACTGACTTCAGATGTTGTAGTGCACAATGGTGGCGTGTGCTCGCTACCTCAAGATGATGATTGGAACCTGATTGTCAACAAGACTGGCGACACCAGCTGGGAGGCCTCGAAAATGCGCAAATATTTAATCAAGATTGAGAAGAACGAGTATTTGCCCGCTGGCACGGCGGATCATGGGTTTGACGGTAAGCCAGGAGCCTCAGATCCGTATAGGAAGCATAGCTAAACCTAGTAGGATGGCTCTCCGTCTCAACCAGTGACTCGTCCTGGTCTACGCAGGAGGACTTGCCCGCCACCAAGATCCTGCATGAACTGGCGAAACTGACAGGCCAAGATACGGGAAATGCCTCTAGGCTCGTAGAGAAGGACATCTTGGGCGACTACCCGAATAAAGACCAAATTACCAGCTTCTATTCAATGGTCCAGCATATGGATAAGCAGGGCAAGCGTTCTAGCCCCAACAACTACATTAAGGCCACTCTCGCCGATCCTAAGAAGTACCCACTGACTCTGAGACTTAACTCTCTCGTCACGAAGGTTCTCTTTGCTAATGACACTAAGAGCGGCATTCCTACTGCTATTGGTGTTGAAGTCATGGATGGAAAGTCCGTGTACAAGGCTGACCCGAGATACAAGCCTGGTACTAAGGGACCGCTCACCCAAATCTTCGCAAACAAAGAAGTTATTGTTTCTGGCGGTACATTCAACACCCCCCAGATCCTCAAGCTCAGCGGAGTTGGCCCAGCAGACGAGCTGAAAAAGTTCAACATCCCCGTGATTAAAGATCTTCCCGGCGTGGGTGAGCACTTGGCGGACAACTATGAGAACAGTCTCCTTGCAATCGGTCAAGCTCCTGTGGGTGGTGGCCTTATCACACTTATGTTCAAGACACCGTCTGCTCCCAAGAACCGAAACATTTTCACCTGGTGTGGAGTCTTTTCCTTTGAGGGCTTTTGGCCAGGTTTTCCAACCGACTATGGCGCCAATGAATATGAGTGTGCAATGGTTCATATTAACCCAAAGTCCCAAGCAGGTTCTGTCAAGCTTATCAGTGCCGATCCGCAAGACGTACCAGACATCAACCTACACTTCTTCAAGGAGCACGCCGACGAAGACTTGCAAGAGATGCTAGAAGCCACAGATCTTCTGCGCAAGGGTTGGCAGGCAGCTGGTGCACCTGTGCTACCTTTCAACGAGAAGCATCCTTGCCCTGGAACAGGTGCCGGCAATTGCACCGATGCCGCAAAGAAGGAGCTGCTACTCACACAAGCTTACTCTCACCACGCATCGTCCACATGCGCCATTGGTGGCGATGATGATAAGTGGGCAGTGTTGGACTCCAAATTCCGTGTACGTGGGGTGAGTGGACTCCGCGTCGTAGATGCATCAGTCTTTCCTGCTGTTCCGGGTGCTTTCCCCGTACTGCCGACATTCATGATTTCGGCGAAGGCTGCGGAGGATATCCTGGCAGATGCCGCGAAAGTATAGGCGGTTGTGAGCAGTAATGCAAGTGAGCATGAAAATCGATATGAATAACGACACGTCAAAATTGAGGTTTGGAGAGGGTTCTAAAATAGGGATGGGATAGGAAGCTGTAGAATGGATCTTTATTTCAAGTATCACAATAATTTGTGTTCTGCCCTCGCCTTATTCAACACGGGCTTGCTTTAAAACATGTCTTGTTCTCATCGAGACGACCACGAGGTCAATCATCTTTCGCATCCTGTCTTGGCGCGTCAAGTCATACTTTGTTTTGACTGGTTGCTCTGATATTGCAAAGCATATGCTTGCTGGGTATTATTCAAATTTGGATAATTTCCTTTGATCGTTCAACCTCAGGAGAGGTAGTCATTCTTCTTGTTCCTGTGCAGAGGCATTCTGGCTCTCGACATTTGACTCCTTAGCTCCGGGATCAATCACACCATACCTAGTTTTCTGGTTAGTTATAGTTCTGGGAAAGAAGCAAGAAATTGACTTCTCATACCATGATATCGCCAATAAGCCAATAATGGCAGAAATACAGCTGAAGAACAAAGCCACATAACCTTTAGCCGTAAAACCGGCAGGTAGTGGAGGAGGTGGTCGGTTCTCTCCGGTAAGATCTAGGACATCCATAATATTGCCCGCTGCGTTTCCCCTAATCGGGGCACCAACAGCTCGGCAAGCATCATAGTGATCCGAGGGGATTTCTAGGCCTTGAATAGCTTCTGGTGCAACAACAATAGTCGCTATGAGACCTTGGTCCATATGCCATTCGATATGGCAATGGAAAAGCCAGACTCCAGGGTTGTCGGCAACGAATCGGATAACGAAATTGCCGTTTCCCTGGACGAAGACGGTATCACGGCGCATAGGATATCGTGGTAATTCAATGCTGCCGTCATTGACAAAATCACCCGCATCCTCATCAGAACGATAGACGACCTGGAAGTTATGGCCGTGAAGATGGAAGGGGTGCTTCCCGTCATCACCATTGTTGAGGACAAGCTCAACGACATCACCGTGCTTGAGAATCTGAGCGAGCGAATTCGAGCCGTACACTCGTGGGTTTGCGGCATTTGTGGTTCCAACTGACAGAGCTGTATACAGCGATGGAACCTTGGGGCCGACATACGTAACATCATTAAAGAAGGCGCTACAGACTTGGTCAATTACGCAGTCCTTGGGAATTTGACACAGGAACATACTAGTTGGCCCCATCACCAAGATTATCCATCTTGACATCGAGGTTGAAGGAATAATCGACCCTCTCGAGAAGTTCTTGCCGATCGTAGGGGACCAGTGTCATGTCATCGAACCAGTCCAATTCGTCAACAGGTGTAGGCGAGGGGAGAGGTTTTGTGTCATCATATACGAGCCATCCGGTAACGTTGGCGTTATACTCGTCAGGGATGACATCAAAGAGTTCTTCATCCATGGCGCCGATAATGGCGAAATTCTCCAATGCATCATCTTTTGTTGTTAAAAGAACACTGTAACGCTGGGCCGGCGTGATGTAGAGCCTATCAGCTTCAGCCTCTTCAGTCCAGACACCGTCTACCTCAACGACGCGCATCTGGTGACCCTCAAACCAAACGTAATGAGAAGCAAAACCGCCCATGTTAACCATGCGAATTAGATACGTTTTGCCTGGCTGAACCTTGACCTGTAGATTTTGGGTGTCATTCATGAGTGCAGCCTGAGGTACGGGTTCCGCCCCGGTTGGGTTCTCGACATTGATTAATTCCTTGATCAGATTCTTGGTGGGCTGATGGTACCAGTCGGAGAAGGACAGGATAAGCTCCTCATCGTATTTGCCTTCGTACGGGCCTTTGGGGTCATGTATTACCACTGGTCCACGTAGACCATCCAGATATTGACCATTATTGTGTGCATGGTACCAATAAGTACCGGGCTGATCAAACTATATCTTATGAGTTTCGTAATTCAGGGGGCTGCGGGAATGAAGAGACCGACCTTGAAATCATACGTAAATGACTTGCCGGGAGGAATCGCACATTGCGTTACGCCGACAGCCCCATCCATATGATTCGTTCCATTTTGGAAAAGGCCATGGAAGTGAAGAGACGTGCTGACATTCTTCAAGTCATTATGGACAGTCAGAATAAGCCTGTCGCCAACATTTGCGGTTATTACAGGAATCGGCCATTGTCCATTGATGCCGATCGTAAGCCGGTCCAAGGCACCATCGGGATTGGCTATGACCCAACCGACTGTGAAGTCACGCACAATTGTCTCCGAGCGTACGGATGACAGTAAGAAAGAGACGACTGCCAGAGAAACCAGCAGGCCAGAGCGCAATATTGAGAAGGCCATGATGGCCGCCACTGTATGAAGCTCAATAACCAGGTATCTGCAGCAGTAGCAGTCGTCGACGTCGTTCGCCTCTTCCCCGCGAGATGGAAGAAGATGTCAGGAGGATCGAACGAGTATTTGTTCTGGAAAACTGGGACTCTTGAGCCGGGCCACACACACGCAGCACATGCACACCAACTCGGCCCGGGGATGAAACCTTGGCGGATCTGATAATTTTTGTCACACCCCTGACCGCCTCCTTTTAGCCCCGCAAGTGGAGTTACAGCGCGTTATCTGATCCGCTGAGCCCCAACCGAAAGTCTCCGCATGCTATCTTAGATCGCTTAGCTTAGGCCTCGACCCGACATCGGGTCCATAGATCCGCCGGTTTTCTCTGTCGTTTCGTTCATCATCATGAGACTTGTGCCCTTTTGTGCGCGCCTCTCAAACATAGCGCCACTTTCTCTCCTGCTGAAGAATCGCAGCCCTGTCTTGAACTGTCGCTTCTTCAACGTCTTTAGAAGAGTTCAAAGACGCTTGCATGGCCGTTGAGACTTTCTTCTGCCAAAGCGTCATATGAAGTGGTGGTAAAAGTCGACATTGAACTGTCGGATTTCTTGCCGCGGCGCCGCTCGTAACTCCGCTCGACATAACAACTCCAACATGGCGGATTACTTCTCGCTCCCGAGTAAGACATCGCCATTATCGCCACATCTCTAGTTTCCGAGCCGACACTGACCTGTCTAGTCTTTTTCATCACCTTCCGCGAGGCGCTCGAGACAGCCATAATTGTTTCTGTTCTCTTGGCACTCATCAAGAGAACATTGACTCCCCAAGATGACCCTTCACTTCGCCAAAAGCTGGCCAATCAGGTATGCATTTAAAGGTATAGTGGTATTTTGCACATCTAATGGAGTAAACCAGGTCTGGCTTGGAACTGCTGTCGGAATGGTCACTGTGATCATCCTAGGAATCATCGTCATGGCTGGTGTTTATGGCCTTGAGTCAGAGTCGCTAGCCGGCGCAGAAGATATCTGGGAAGGTCTCTTCTCGCTTGGTGCCTCGATCATCATCACCATCATGGGAGCTGTGCTTTTGCGTGTCTCGAAGCTCCAAGACAAATGGCGCATCAAGCTTTCCCAGGCTCTGAGCCCGAGCTCGACCCAGAAAGGGCCCTTCCTCGAACGCTTCAAGTATCTAAGCGAGAAGTATGCTCTGTTTGTGCTGCCGTTCATCACGATTCTGCGAGAAGGCTTTGAAGCCGTACTATTCATTGCTGGTGTTGGCCTGGGTATATCACCCGCATCTATTCCGCTGCCAGCTATCACCGGCCTTCTGACTGGTGCTTTTATTGGATATTTAATCTATAAGTACGAGCAAATTCGTGCGTTGTAATGTTTTGCTTTACTGACTCTGAATCTAGAGGATCCAATGTTGCACCCATCCAGTATTTCTTGATCCTATCTACATGCTTCCTCTATCTTGTCGGAGCGGGCCTCTTCTCTAAGGGTGTTTGGCATCTAGAAGCGTATCAGGTTCGTGCACAGTTCCCTTATGGCTGATTATATGATTAACCTAGGAATAGTGGAACATGATCGTTGGCGGCGATGCTGCAGAGCTCGGATCGGGTCCAGGCTCATATGACATCCGTAGGAGCGTCTGGCATGTGAATGTAAGTTGCGCTCGCAATTGTCGCAATTATCCTTTTTGTGAACGAAAGTACTCACAAGTTTCAAAGTGCTGTAACCCCGACCTGAACGGTGGAGGGTTTTGGGGAATTTTCAATGCACTATTAGGTTGGCAGAACTCTGCCACGGTCGGGTCTGTGGTATCATACAATCTCTACTGGATCGCTGTGGCACTTGGATTTGGGGTTATGATTTGCAAGGAGAAAGGATACGGCCCATTTGACAAGCGGGGCTTCAAGTCTGATGATGACCTCCGACCTCTTCTTGCAAACCCTCCCCGGTAGTCTCATCAAAGATTGGCAGTACGGTCACCTTGATACTGGAGTAAGGCATTTACAAAACGCATGACTGAGATACACTTTCGAGTATAGTGTTAGTGTAAAAACACAATGATAGTGACTTTAGGATGTAGCTACTACGATCAGCTTAAGAATACTTGAGTTAGGTATACAATATAGTAACGAGAGAAGCCGTCTAGTACTAAGGAAGCCTAAAGGAAAACTATCGACCCGGATTGCGTGAAATATACAATCAAAAGATGTTGTCCGTTGCTTTTAGGCGATAAATGATCCATTTATCATGGAGCTTTCGCAACCATAAAGATATTTGAAGCGAATGATCCTGAAAACCTTCTGCCATTCCGTTCAAGACTGCAGCAAGGCGAGCTTTTCCTGAACGCCGGCAAAGCTGAGCTCCTGAAGTGTCTCGGACCATATGACATCCGTCAAGTCCTTCCCAATGGAATAGTACCAACGAGAAAGTCTAAAGCATTGTCAGCTGTGTTCACTCGGACTGGAAATGAATTTGACTCACGGAGCAATATTACAATTCATCAGAAAGCACCCATGTGTCTCCTTGCCGTGACCCAGAACAGCGTCCACATAGGTTGCTGCACCCCTTTGCACCGGTCTGCCCGCAATTGTCATGAATAACAATCCAAACAAGTACATGATGCCAGTGTAATCACGCCCCAAGCCCGTACCTTTGGTCAAGCCCGGATCAACCATGTTGATGATGACATCCTCGGGAGCAATCATCTCGGTCAATTTGACAATAAAAAACTGACTAAGCAATTTAGAGACGCCATATCGTTCGCTTGGGTCCCAAGGTAACTTTTTTGTGTCGTCGAAGGAAGCCAAAAATGGTCGTTCGTCTCTGTTTGGAACTTTGCACAAGTGAGCCATGACCGAGTTGACAAGTGTCAATCGAGGTGGATGGCCCATGGACTTGCCCTTTTGCTTTAGGATCGGAAGTAAGAGAATCGTGAGAAGTGCTGTACTAAAATGGTTGACTTGAACGGTCTCCTCATGGCCAGTCGCTGGTATTGTAGTGAACTGTATTCGGCCAAGGCCAGCATTCATGATAACGATATCAATTCGATCAAGGCTCTCGCATTTACGAGAAAAATCTTGAATGGATGTATACGAGAGCATGTCCAGTTGCCAGACCTCGATTTTTGCAGCAGTATTGGCTGTGGCGGCGCGAAGTCTGGTCGCCGCGGCTTTGCCTTTCTCCAATGACCGGACGGCTAAGATGAGGTGGGAGAGGCCCAGGGACAGCAACTGCCTTGCTGCTTCATATCCCAACCCCTGATTTGAGCCTGTGATAATTGCAAGTTTCCCCTTGACATCTGTGTACTTAGACTTGGTCGGTAACGGGATCTTAGTCCTAAACTGATTGCGGAAGAATATAGGACCAAAGTTCTCAGGGAAAGGCTCCATGTCTTTTGAGAGGACTGGCTGACCCTTTTTCACCTGAGACCTCCCATTTGTATGATTCGCCGACATTTTGATGCAAGATTATGTATGATAGACTGGTTCAAATGATTGTCTGTTACGAAGTGCTGACTGTTCGCTGAATGTGTATCGGAGGTTCTGAATAAAGTAACTAGAACTCTCAACTTGGAGAGCGGACATTCAAGTATTTATATATCGAGCCTAAGCTCAAAAGCTGAATTTGATCGCTCGGCATCTTGATTTACGATGGCTCTTAATTCCGTAAGTCGCGACTAGTCATTTTGATTGAAACGATTGTAGCGTTGCGTTCAGCGCATGTTCCATGCTCGTGCTGGGGTGCGATGGTGCGAATCAGGTGTGGCTACACCACTACACTAGCCTAAAACAGGCAAACGAGCACCCACCGAGTCGCCATTGATATCTCGCAATGCCTAAACTCGAAAATAATCGAAGCCACACAGCCTCCGTTGATTTGAAATCTAAGGACTAACGGTCATGATTTTATGAAATGCCTAGATGCTTCAATTCTAAATGATTCCGTGACATGATCGCCTACACTGCTGCCCCGCTCTATAAAAAACAATATCAGGGTATTATCAGCTCAGTGAAACTATCAATCAATTAGCGCAGCAGCACATCAATGTGCCATTCACAGCTCAGAAAGATGTAACTCAACTTTTCGCTACTAAGGCCAATCGGCCCAAAGTCATGAGCCCTTCCTCTATATAAGATCATCTTGCCTGTGGTGCGGATGGTAGAATGTAGAACAACGTTAGTTGGCGCGGACACTGTTCACGAAACTTCTCTAACACTACGGGACAGTCTGCAATTGCCCGTCGGCGTCAAGACGGCATTCGTGAGATCCTGTCCCGAGAGCCGGTAGGTTCCGCGTTTCCATTTTCGAGGAATGTCTTCCAGCAAGCATTTTCGACTCAAGTTTGGAACCGTGTAAGGGTGATCACTGCTTGGAAGCTCGGCGTGACGAAGTGACTCGTGCTACAGAGCTGGCGGTCTCTTGACTCAGTGTGACAGCACTAATCCTTAACAGGTAAACGAGCATGCCAGGAAGGATTCAAGACCGGGCCTGGGGATTGGCTGGTGGCGAATCGAAGCCTCCTAACAAAGTCAAACGATCTGCACGCTATCGTACCGTGCATCCCGGGGTCAGGCGAGAGGTGCCATTCTTAAAGCAGACCACGCCAGTACATGACATTGCTTTCGATTTCGCCCTTCCTCGTTTACCTCTTTCGACAACAAGCATTATCATTCTGGAATTAAATTCGACGCGAGGATAGGAAGTTCTCCATGGAGAATAAGTCCAGGTTCCAGATCATCTCATTAAATAATTTCGATGCAAGAGTGCGAGATTACAAGAAGCGCAAGGCGCATAAGAAGACGAAATCAGGCTGCCTGCCATGTAGAGCAAAGAGGGTCAAGGTCCGTTTCTTCCTCCAGCTCAGACACCCATCTGGTAGCCAGCGGAATTGACGTTTAGAAGTGCGACGAGTCGAGACCTATTTGTGCTCGATGCCAAAGAAATAGTCGAACATGCGCTTACGGTGAAGCGCACGATGCCTGGCAGCTATCACCTCGAACGACACCGCCATTAGATCCCTTCAATATCGGGAGGTTCTCAATTCTCAGTGCTGTTACTGTGGACCCTTTCTGCTCGTCTACGGGAAATGGAACATCTACAATTGTCCTCATGCAGCACTTTCAGCGGCACTGGATTGAGATCTTCCAATTTCCACATAGCGAAGAGATTCTCTCACTGTACAGGTCCTCTTCACTCCTCCGAAATACTATGCTTGCCATTACCGCCTGCCATTTGAGACATGTTTCTCCAGGAATACTGCAACATAGAATTGCGGAACATTTCCAGCAGGCTTTGGCACTTCGAGACTACCAAACGGTACTCTGTCTGTCGCAAGAGCATCTTGATCAGCCCAGCGTAGATGCGCTGTTCCTCAGTGCGATGCTCCTGAACATCCTGGCGTTTGCACTCCCTCAGTCGGAGACTAACCATGGCGAACCCGATCCAACCATGTCCTGGGTGTTCAGTCCCCGAGAGGACAGGCTGAATTGGCTCTGGTTGCAAATGGGCCTCCGACCCTTACTCAAGTCCATGTCCCTGTATCTTGACAAGACGATGAGTTTCCTTTCTCGAGTCTTTTTGGGTCCAGGGCAGGAGCCAACAGAATTCATCACAATCCATCACGGTCTCGAAGGGGTGCCGGAGTCTTGGAACAAACTGCTTCAACTTGACGGTCACAATAGCGGCTGTGACTCTAAGGCAACTTCGCGCCCGTCAGACGTAACCGACACTTCCCCACACCCAGGCGACATCTTCCATGCACCGGTCAAGATCATATCGATGCTACGATGTCTTGAGCCAACTGGGCCCAATATCTTCAAGAGCCTGGTGTTTCTGAGCAAGATAAACGGCAACTTTCGCACATTACTATACAACAGAGGCGAAAGGGCATTGTGGCTCTTTGGGTATTGGCTTGGGCTAATGTGTCGCTTTGATGGAGTATGGTGGTGCGATAAACGAGTAAGAATGGACTACTACGGCATCTATCTATGGCTTAGTCAAGTCGGCCTCATCGAACGACCAGGTGCTGAAGGCCAATTGTGGAGAGAATTGATGATGGACCTGAAATTAGCACCAACTGTCAACAAACATATGGCAGACAATACTGTAGCCATATCTCAGCAAGGTCATGTGAGCCAACATCCTGGAGTGTTAAATTTATCTTGAGGAAGCAGGCCTCGGAGATTTAATCCAATCGTTACAAAATTTTGCAGTGTTCACACATAGAAAAGGAAGGCTTAGGTACCGTTTGTACTGAGGCAACAAGTTGCAAGAGAACTGCTGGGAGGCTTCGCGCGAGATCTTCCCAGCTGTTTATGGTAGTGCGCCGAACGGTGTGATCCGATCTGAAGTATTTGTACTCGAACAGACTAAACGCATAGATTACAAAAATCGTGTGGCCCCTTGTAAAGCGACCGTGATGAGATCTAGCCTGGATTGAGCGATATGTACAGAAATATATTCTTTGCTGCATCTGAGCATTGTTGCATACAAATGTATTCCACCCACTAGCTCATCATAGAGATGCTATTAGATCATACTGCATACAAGTCAAAGATCTCTTTTGTTTTATTCCTTTGGAAGCCTCTCCCAGTTTTCCAGTGCTTTACGTATGTTTGCCCACCAAGCTACGATCGCCATTCTCTGTAAGTCACCAACTGATTTCATAGATGTTTCTGGATAGTAGACGATCTGCGCAGATTGAGAGTCGGACGGATTGATTGTCCGATTGGGATGCTCAGGACTTTATTAAATTGTTGAGTTAGGCAATGTGTTTGCGTGCCGAGGCTCAAACTTTCTCTGATTACTGATATGCATTCTAATCCAGGTGCCTTATCACCAAGATCCAATACAAGTCACGCGACCTTCGGCGCTCAACTTCGCGATTACTTAATCGAAGTTACTCAGCGTCCATGTATCACTAAATTGCTACTGCGGCAAGACGGCTAATCAA